AGAAAATGGAAAAGCCACTTGTGCACCCCCAATACACAAGATGTGGTTCATTTGCTGTGATTGAAGGTGTATATACAAGAACCAGCCTAATCTTTACACCATCATGTAAATTCATAAAACAGTGGTTCGTTAATTTTTTTTTCCATGTCCAAACTGGTACTTTGGAAATGACTTGGGTAAATCCTGAGGGCTCTTTACACCAGATGTAGAATTTTGCCATCATGGAAACTGTCCCTTGAGCTGTTACTCACTGATATCTTTGAGAGAGAGTTTGGACTGGACATGAAGAGGAAGATGTATAGCTGGTAAGAACCCTGAGTGGAATTAAAAGTGTGCCCAGGCAGTGAATTGAGTTTTGCATTGCCGAAGTCTGCAAACATAACTTTTTAGAAGATTCGAGTCAAGCCTGTCCTTGGATCAGGAAGCCCCATCAGCTGTAGCTCCTCAGAGGGTTGTAACCACCACAGGCATGTCTTAATCAGGGACAGCTGATTACTCTGCCCCTGTTCCAGGGAAGGGTGACGCCTCCCCCACGAAGTAATCAGTTGTGGTTATGTCATCATCTCCTTGCTTCTGCAGCAGCCCAGAACTGCAGAGGTCTCCTGGGGAGAGGAGAGCCGAGGGCAGAATTCCCAGTGGGCCAGCTAAGTGGCAGCTGTTGGAATTAAGGTTGCTGGAGGACCGATTGGGATTGGCTGGGACAGATTGGGATGATTTATTGTCAGCACTGGTGCTCTCTGACCCCATTCTGTTTAAAGGCTTGTCAGCCTCCCAGGAGTAATTTGTTCACAAGTCTGCACTGATTGAAAGAGTATTGCTAATCAAGAGACTATAGGAGCAGGGACAGAACCCACATCTAGGATAGAGGGTCACATGGCTTTTTAGGATGACAGCAGTCTGTAGGCATGTAAGTCCAACAGCCACAGAGAAATCCCCTTGCACATGAAAGGGACCAAGAGTATAGTGAACAAAAATGATAAAAACTAAGACCAGATAAACTTTCAAGGTTTTTTTTTTTTCCTTTTAAAAAGAAAGCCTGCAGCTATTAGCCCATTCATATAAGAGCCTGGCCCCTGTGTACCTTACCCGTCTCACATCCTCTAGTGTTCTCCATGCATCTGCAAACTCTAGCCCCTCTACATCTGTCCAGTCTCTCACCCTGTCCCTTTGTCCTTTCTCTTCCCTGCTGATGGAATTCTATTCCAAGATTCACTTCAATTTTTTTCCAAACAGGCCTTTCCTGTTCCACTGGGCATGGCTAACTGCTCCATTGTTTCCCTAGTACTTGATATGTCTCTTGATTGTACAATTCAATTATATTGAAATCATTTCAGTCCATTTGTGTTTTACTATGTATTTGTGTATACATACACAATAGTTTTTTGATGCTATGTAAATGGTATCCTATTCCATCAACTGTTTCGCAACTTGCGCTTTCGTCAACATCGTTTATCCATGAACTGTGTGCTGTAGTTTATTTAACAGCCTTATAGTGTCTCTTTATATGACTCTGCCACATTTGTTTTCACCTGGTGGACATTAAGGTTGCATTTTTTATTGTTAAATAGCATAACACACTTGTATGTCCATTTGAGAATTTGTCTGGGGGTTATCTAAACATAGAATTGCTGGATTGTCATATGCTTCTATGGGCCCTTTTAGTAGATGGGCCCAGTTATCTTGCAGAATGATTGTTCTAGTACTCAGATCCACCAAGTCACTTTGTGAAGCAGCCTAGTGAGGGAAGAATACGGACCTTTGGGCAGTGATCTTTAGACCCTGGGTGAGGTTTTCCTAAGTTGTTGGAAGGAATGATCTCAGACATAGTGAGATTTACTTACTGCCTTTTTACAAATTAAGATGTTTGAACTTTTTGAAACTAAATGTTTGAAGTTGGAACTTGTTGAAACTGGATTATCCTTTAGAGTTTTCCACAAATGGGTCTTTGTTGATTGCATCCTCATAATTGTTCCACATGTTCCTTTGTCCCCTGTGTTTCCTGTAAAAGCGTAGTAAAATTTAGATGTGTTGATTTTTTTTCTTTTTTTAAAATAAGAAACCTTACTCAGGCAGTCTTGTGGGCTCCCGCTAAGGGCTTCCGTCAGCAGTCATTGGTTATGCCTAGATCTATTAATTCATTACATTGTAAGATGGTGATATTCTTACTGTTATTCTTTATGCATTTGTTAGCTGGAACAAACCTATAAAAGGAGCTTCCCCTCACCAACCATTTAGTTACCCTGAGACGCAGGTTGCATAGGACAGCTAAAGCAGATGTTCAATTCCTTATTGACTAATTTGAGAGTAATGAATCCATAACTCCCAGCATCGTCTAATAAGTATTTATATATTTACTTTTGATGCAACACAGCCATTTGAGCTGTGAGAAGTTGCCCATGTGCATGGCTGTTTCCTGAGTGGTGGAGAGCTGGGTGACAATATGGAGAACTGTGACTTCACATAGAAGGAACACGGACTTCAGACCTGGGCATGTCTGAGCTAATGTCTTGGCATGGCCATTTTGCAGCCATGCAAACCTTGACACATTCCTTGACCTTCTTGAGATTTTTTTCTCCCTGAGTGAGGTGAAAGGTTATAATGCCTATCTCATAGGGTTCGTGTCAGAATTAAATAAGGCATCCAACCCAAGGACTAGCTCGTGTTGGAAGCCTGGGAATGCTTTTATCAATATTTTTGGGAATGTAGCTTGCCTTTCCAACATCCAAATGAAACTGGCTTGCTTAAATGTAACAGCCATTGTCCTGTGAGTCCTGAAGGGTTTGACCTCTGGAGGGGAAGTGGGTACTCTGAGATCTCTGCTGAGGTGGTGAGGTTGATGGGTGCTAAGGGCACAAATGCCTGTCTCCTTTGGTTGGCTTACAAGATTACAGACATGAAGTTTACTATATAAACTCAGAAGCATCTTTGGGGGTCTCCTGTCTGCCTCATGAGGTCTAGCTGTCCCCGGACCTTGGGTCCAGTAAAGAGATGCCTTACAAAGTCATTCAGCACACAGGGTTGTACTTAACTCCACTTCCCTGCAGGGGAAGTATATATGTGGAGTGTAGGCTGCATTACATACTTTAAACCCTAACAGAAAAACTATATTCACAACCTAAACTGGAAGTTGTAGGATTCTAAAATGGCAGGTGGCCAGAAAAGACAAGGAGTCTAAAATTCTCATTTCAAAATAGAAAAACTAAAGTTTATTTATAGTTTCATTCACTCAAATGTTTGAGTGCCTACCACATGCAGGTGCTAGAGAACCCTGCTGAAGCAGGATGGGTAGGGCATGGGCAAGGGAGGGAAAGGGGACATGCAGGGCCTGGGAGAGCATGTGGCAGGAGGCCCTCCCTAGCCTGTGGGGTCCGGGAAGTCCTGCCCGTCATAAGGTTGAGACCTGAGGGAAGAGGAGGAGCCAGGTAGGTGCAGGGAGCTCTGGGAAGAAAGCTGCCAGCAGGGGGGACTGTGTGTGAGAAACTTGGGTGAGGGCAGAGTGCACATGGGTGCCACTGAGAAAGGAGGCATTCAGGACTGTTAGGTGAGGACTCTGGCAGGGCTGGGTGGATCCGGCCTGGCACATGAGTCAGGATGAGGACTGAAGACTGTTTCAGGGCAGAAGAGGCTGTTGAAGCATTTCACACAGGGAATACAACCAGGTTCACATTTCAGAAGGATGGCCCTGGCAGTCAAGTGGAGAATTGGCAGCAGGATGCAGGAGCAGGGAGACCTGTTGAGAGAACACTGAAGTTGTCCAAGAAAGAGACAATGGTGATGTGGGCCTTGGCAGTGGACAGAAGCAGGAAGCGATGCTCCACCATTTGTGACAGCATGTTGGACGTAATTAGAGAGGGCAGGAAGGTAGGCAGAGCAGGCCAGGCCTGGCCCAGGCTGAGCTGCTTCCCTAGGGAGTCATGTGACTCAGCTGAGGCACAGTAAGCTATGCTCACCTACAGGTAGGAATGGCAATAGTTTTCCTCCTGGAGGCTTGGTGGGGTATTTTTATTTTATTTTTTATCAGTATTAGTTGAGGTCAACTTCTTGACCTCTGAAGCGCTAGCTTCTAGCTGTTTGCTAGCCTTGTAAATGCATGCCAGCTGAGCATTATGGGCTTGGGGCTGTCGGGAGATGATGGTAGTTCTGTTGCTTCAATTCAGCTAGGCCCAGGTGGAAGATGGGTTGGGGTTTCAGCTTCTCTTTCAATGTCTTTATGCCTCATTGTTCCTAGACTGCTAAAAAGCTAGTGGGTATTTCTAAAGATTTTTTTTTTTAACTGTAGGAATGTAAACATATGAAAGGGATTAAAATGCTAACATTTTTTTTTTTTTTACCAATACATTAGTAGTGGGATGTTTTATGGAAAGCTTATACTGATGAGACCAGTTGTGTAGCTACTGATTTTAAAAGTCATCCAGTGTTTTGAATGTCCCCACTGCTGCATAAGAAGTGATACTGAGATGGTGACTTCCTGACTGGTCCTAGTAATGAGATGTGTCAACTGGTCCATAGGAAATACCTAGGAAATACCACTTGTCGGTTGGGAATAACAATACTTGGAGATCTGATCAAAGTGGATGAAACCTGGGAAGGTTTGTTTCTCTCCCAGAAAGTTCAGAGCTAATGGGCACTACCATTGGTTTAGTGGCTAAAGGATGTCAGCTGAGATCTGGCTCTAGGTCCCATGATGAATGCTATAGCTACAGCCATTGCATGTGTACTTTAGGCTGGAGGAGGAGGAAGACGGGGACAATGGGGTGCACCTCCCTGATGGTTAATCTCTTATAAAGAGCTCACTAATAAACTCATGACTGTCACTGGCCATCCTTAGGAGTGAAGGAGGCTGGAAATTAAATTTAAGTCGAACGCAATCTTTAACTTGGTTCCTTGTCATTGCAAAAGTTGAGGGAGGGAAAGGAGATATACCCTGTTACAAATATCCAGCCTGAAATGAGGAAAGACTTCATTTTTTGCATAACCCCTTTGTTCTTTGTTGATTCCAGGCCATCGGGAATGCCAAAACCACTCGGAATGACAACAGCAGCCGCTTTGGAAAGTACATTCAGATCGGCTTTGACAAAAGGTACCACATCATTGGGGCCAACATGAGGACCTACCTGTTGGAGAAGTCCAGAGTCGTCTTTCAGGTGAGTGAGGGACTGGGGCCTGTTGTATTTTTGCCCCTCACTTGATGCTGCCTGCCCCACTCCCCGTGCCCAAAGAGCAGCTCATCTTTTGAGCCTGGATTTGGATGTTCTTGGTCTTCTGCTTTCCTTTTGTTGATGGTATTCATTTCAAATGAAACAGAAATTTGGCCTCAAAGTCCTTTACCTTGCATTGCTTTTTGATTCAACCAACAAATTGAGGGCCTCTAATGTGTCAGACCTGTGCTAGACCCCAAAGACGCAGTCGAGAATAAAATCTGTTTCCTTGTGGATTTTCAGTCTAATGATCAGGGACTATCATATGTACAGTCTGTGATTTGAGCTTTCACATGAACCTTAGTAGGTTGAAAGTGTATCTGTTTTCACATTTGGCTACTTGGCTTACTTTTCAGTAAGTGAGGGGAGTTCTCACTTCTTCCCAGGCTTGATTGCTCTCAGCTTACCTTCCATTTCCTCCTGCCAACTGGGCCGTGCCTCTAGGTGACTGCCCTCCCCTGGCAGCACGCGGTTCAGCTCACAACCCCATCCACAGCCCTCTTGCAGCTCCCTTTTGTCCTCATCACTGAACCAAAGTGACAGTGCATGTCCTGAGGCTGGCACGCTGCTCCCCTGGGTGAAGTGGCTTCCTGGTGCTCACATTTTGGCTACCTTCAGAGGAGACATTGGAAGGCTTCAGAATCCGATCCCTTCAGCTGTTTGTCTTAGCTCCATGCTGATTTTTAGCAAACACCTAATGAATTCAAACAAGCTCTCCTCTCCCCTTTTTGCCTGGCTGTCCTTGGTACCTCCTGGTTGGTTTCCCAGCCCCACATTCTCACTTCTGTAGTGCAGGGCTGGCCTCTGCTGAGTGCAGTCCAGGGTGCTCTGCAGCCTCTCCCTGGCACCCCTTCCTGAGCTTTCCTTTTGCTCACCACCGTCACTTGGCCAATTTAAGCCATTCTGGCTTCAAGTGTCCACCAGAAGTCCCTTCTCAGTTGTGGACCTTTCCTGACTGCTCTGACTCAGTGGGCCAGCACAACTTTCACTAAGCTCCAAGCTTCCCAGAGGAGAAAGTTTACAGCAAGGAAATTATAAGCCCTGGAGCATTAGTCAAGCAGCACAGAAGACTACATATCTGCTGATTGACTGACTCTCCATTTGCGGAATAACAATGATGTCTTGTACAGAAGGAAAAAGAAAATGCATGCTTTTGTGTAAGTCAAGAGGTAAAACTCATCAGTTTGGGAGAACCCATAGCACATGGAAAATCTGGCAGTGGGACTTGAAGGTGGAAGGCTATGGAAAACCTAGAAGGTGGTGCGTTCAGTTCCCACCACCTGGAGCATCTGGGCTCAGAATAGATGAGAGGGTGATCTTGGAGTTTTGGCCTTAAAACTCATTCACCTTTTCCTCCTCCAGGCAGATGATGAGAGGAATTACCACATCTTCTACCAGCTCTGTGCTGCCGCCAGTCTCCCAGAATTTAAAGAGCTTGCACTAAGTAAGTCAGCAGGTATATGCTGTGCTCAGGGTGGGCGACAACCACTGGAACAGCGTAGAGGCTCTGCGGGGGCCTGGATGCTCTGCTCAGAGTCCTCTGATACGGGTTCCTGTCTGAGCTCTGTCCTGAGACAGAGTTGTTTGTTCTTTGTCGATTCCAGGCCATCTGGAATGCCCAAACCACTCGGAATGACTCCCTTAAACCTTTCAGAACCTCCCCACCCAATTAGACTGGATACAATCAATACTATTTTACTATCTTCAGCAGAAATCGTGTGAAGGAATAAGAGGCAGGGTTGGCAGCATGTTTTGCATGGCATGAAAGACTCTGCATGTGTCATTATTTTGAAATGTGGTTTTACTCTAGGCATCATGAGATGTGTGTGCCTTCCATAAAGATGTAGATTTGGATGATGCAGATCATTTGCTCAGGGCTAACATGTTTTAGGATTAAGTTTTAGGATTGAAACACAGGGAAGGGTGAGGATAAAGTGGGGATGGATATAAGCCAGGTGTGGTGGGCACACCTATGATGCCAGCTACTGGGGAGGCTGAGGCAAGAGGATCCCAAGTCTGATGCCAGCCTGGGCCACTTGGATACTATCTCAAGATTAAAAATGCAAAGGGCTGAGGGTGCAGCTTAGGGGTAGCTTGCCTAGCACACTTGAGGTCTTGGGTTTAATCCCCAGTACTGCTAGGGGATGGGGAGTGAGAAAAAGACAATGGGAATGGCTCTAGTCATAAGGCAGAGGCAGGGGTATTGCCACAGATTTATTGGGGGGGGGGGTGCTCAGATGAATGAGAAAGTGCTGCCACGTGGTCTGATCCCATTTAAGCAGGCCCGGAAGCTTCTGGAACCCCTGCTTTGGAGCACTGGAGGGATAATGGAGTGACTAACAAAAGTGACCGCTCTACTGGAGCCAATGCATGAGTCCCCAAATGTCACCATCAGATGGATGGGTCCATCCTTGGCTTCCACTGATGAATGTATTGGCAAGTTTCATTTGCTTTGAGTTGGCTGACGTGGAGCTAGAGTAGTGGAGGTGTTTTAGTCATATTTCCCCCCTGCTGTGGCTAAAAGACCTGAGAAGCACAATTACAGAGGAGAAATGTTTATTTGGGCCTCACCGTTTCAGAGGTCTCTATCCATAAACAGCAGGCTCCATTCCTTGGAGCTCAGGGTGAGGCTGAACATCATGGAGGAAGTGTGGCAGAGGGAAGCAGCTCACATGATAATGAGGAAGCAGACACTCCACTTGATGGACACAAATACATACCCCAAAGCTTTTCCCCCAATTCCCACCTCCTCCAGACACACCCTATCTGCCTTCAGTTAATCTCTATCGGGATTAATTCACTGATTGGGTTAAGACTCACAACCCAATTATTTCTCCTCCAAACCTTCTTGCATTCTCACAAGTGACCCTTAGGAGGACACCTCACATCCAAACCATAACAGGTGGGTAGGCTACCTCACATCCAAACCATAACAGGTGAGTAGCTTTAGTTCTTGATTCTGTACCACATACCATCTCTCCTTGGACCTAGAGCCTCTACCCGCACTCCTCTGGTCTGGGGAGCATTGTGTATCATGGGATATTGACCTATTCTGTAGCTAAGTCCTTGGAGCCCATGTGTGGGATAAGGGTGGGCCCAGGGCTCAGCAGTATCCTGTCCCTGGCCTGCTGTCTGTACTTCAGGAGCTTGTGGGGAAAGTGAAGCACTATCGGATGATGTGAAGAGCTGGGTATCTAGGAAGAGGCTGGTTGGTCTCCACAGCTGTGAGAACAAGACTAATGAGACTTTGCAATCTCTGATCCTAATCCAAGCCATCCTAAGGATCTAGCACCAGACCCATCTGTGCTCCCAGTTGCTAAAATCTATCCAAAGACTCCAATATTGGTTTGCTCTCTCAACTCTGCTTCTTATAAATTCTTGTAGCACTTGCATGTGTCGTGCAACTTAGCATCCATTCATCAAACTACTCAGGCCATGTTAGATGCTGGCGACATAATATTAAACAGTTGTGGGTCCTACTTTCACTTAGCTTGTCAACTACAATACCAGGTAGTGAGGGCTATGCTGCAGGAAGCATAGTTGGGGCAGGCCAAATTTCCCTGTGAAGCCATGTTTTAGAACCTAGGGAGGAAGCTGTAGTGACATCCACTGTGTTGGTTTGTCCTTTAATTCTTCACAAGTTTGATTCTCCCGGGGATATTATCACCTCTCAGAGGACAAGGAGAATGCATTGCCTTTCAAGCAGGGTGGTGCTGAGCAGTCCTTGTATGAGCACTGCCCTGACCTGCCACCTTTAGGCTCTGGTGGCAGCTCAGTCACAAGTGGCCAGGTAGGCATTCACACTGTGGCTACTGCCATTGTCTTTTTCCTTCCCAGAATGGGGCAAGAGCCCAGAAGAGCTTTTCAAGGCCAGTCTGCAAGACATGAGGTATATTTTCCCCTCTGGTCAATTTTATAATGAATAAATACTGACATGATCCACTTGATATTATTGGGACCATTTTGGTCACAAATGTAACTTGAATAGGAAAGAAATCATTCTTAAAAAATATTTCACTTACATGTTTTATACTTGAGCTTAAAATGGCTTTTCCTTGTATATCTGTGCAATGTGCAGATTCCTTGGGTTCCCAACTGAGACACTTGAAAACTGCCCAGTCTCTTGCATCATGGAGTGAAAGTACAATGAAGTACAATGATTTTTTAGAAGTACAATGATAGTGAATAAATGACGGTAAATCTCGTACAGGTGTGAAGGACCCATTTTCCCTTGAGTTCATCCTTCAGATGTTTAAGAAATAATTTCCTTTTCTTGGTTACTTCTGTAAGTGTACTGATGCAGTTTTATTAATAACGTCTTCAGCCTTGCACAGGTCAAAACCTTGCATCCCATTTGCAGTGCAAGCTGGTGGCCTTGGCCTTGAAAGGCTTGATTAATTTCTACTTTGTGGTGTGCCCACTACCTGGTCCAACGTCTGCGTATTGAGCCAGTTAATAGATCTGAGGTATGTTTCTCCTTGGTGATTCTTCTTAAAGAGACCAGAGGATAAGAGAAGGTGCTGGCTTCAGGGTCCTGAAAGGAGAGCCGAGATCCAGGCAGGCTGGGAAGACTGCCTCTTGTTTGGATGGTTCTTAATGAGAGGCTCTAGAGCATGATCTTCAGAGGCTACAACAGACCTTAAAGCTGAGGGAGAGGAGACAGTGACTCAGTTTGGATTCAGAGAATGCCAGTAGTCCCTGCAGCTGTAAGCCTAACTCTGAATAAGTTACTCAGCTGGGCCTGAGTTTGGGAACCGGGAGCAGGCAGGACCCGTGGGTGTTCTGTCTTAGAACATCAGGCAGCAAGGCCCTGGGTGTTGACAATGAAGGGTCTTGGGAAAAGGTGCTGAAAATGCATTCTCTCCAATACGAAAGTGGAGTCGGGTGACTATGTTCAGCTGACACTTGATAATGACCGCTTTAATTAGTGGTTTTGTTGCTGTGACCAAAAGACCCGGTAAGAGCAACTGAGAGGAGGAAAAGCTTATTTTGGCTCGGTTTTCAGCAATTCAGTCTGTGATCAGCCAATTCCATAACTGTGGGCCCAAGATGAGGCAGAACTTTATGGCTGAAGGGTGTTATGGAGGAAGCAGCTAAGGATATGGCCACCAGGAAACGGCTCCACTCATGACAAAACATAAACCCCTAAGATATATCCCCAGTGACCCATGTCCAGCCACGCCCTACCTGCCTACAGTTACTGCCCAGTTAATCCTTGGCAGATTAACCCTCTGATTAGGTTGTGCCTCTCATAATCAAATAATTTCATCGCTGAACATTTTGCATTGTCTCATAGGAGCTTTTGAAGCTTACCTCACAGCTAAACCATAACAATGAGTTAGGTTGTGTTCATGACAATCATAGAATGACAAAGATAAATGATCATTTCTTTTTTTTTTAAATATTTACTTTTTAGTTTTAGGTAGACACAATATCTTTATGTGGTGCTGAGGATTAAACCCAGTGCTTTATGCATGCTAGGCGAGCACTCTACCATTGAGCCACAACCCCAGTCCAGAAAAATGATCATTTCTACAATTGGGTAATCAGTTAATGGGCTCCCAGGCCCGGACAATCTCTGGAGAGAGTGTGCAGCCCTTAAAGCCCTATGTTCTTCAGTTTGCTTATCTGCAATGGTGGGAGTTAAAGTGGTTTTCAGGTAGGCCCTGCAGAAATCATCAGATGAAACATCTTGAAGAGTGAATACAAAGGGGAAGAAAGAATTGATTTAGAAAGCCTTGGAAACTGCCATGCCAGAGCTCCCAGAGTGGTTAGCTGTGAAAAAGAACTATGCCGATTTCAGCAAAGAGAATTCTTAAAAATTCACTTCTCCTGAAGCTGTGAGGAAGAGCTGTTATCCTTCCTCCTCCAGTTCAAACGCCTTGGACTGAATCATCAGTGTGTTAAGTTACTCCTCCAGAAAGCTGTCTCTCCTGCCTTACCACTGCAACACAACTCTGTTCATCCCTGTAGGCAGTGGAGCTTGATGGTTACAGCTCAGGTTGTGTTGTCAAACTGGGGTTTAGGGCTGAGTTCTGCTCTCTAGCTGAGCTTGGCAGTGTTTGCTTAATGGACCAAAGGAGTTTTTAAAGTTAATCGTGGCTTAGAACAGAGGGTGCTCTCTAGGAACATGAGGGAATAGGGTGAGACAAGAAAGGTAGGTAGGGACCACTGATGGCATGGACAGAAGGAAGAGTTGATCAGGGACAGGAAACTGAAGTCGGGAGTTGGGAGCAGTAGGCTGTAGCCATGTCTTGGAAGGTCTAAGAGAAGGTTCTAGGCTGATAATTTTTGCTATTGATCTCTAAGGGGCTTCAAACAGGGGAGCAGTGTGACTGACATTATCAGCATTTTGGAGGTGTGTTTGGAAGGACATGAGCAGAAGCAAGGAGTTGGGTTTAGTCTTTTGCAACAGTCCCCAGACAACAGATGCTGAAGGTCAGACCCAGGACAATGGCAGTCTGCAGAGAGGAAAATTCTGTAGAAGTTCTTGGGGGATAAATCAGAAGGACGAGGTGTTGCAGGAGGACTGGGAGCTGCTGTGAAGCTGCAGCTAAGCACGCCCAGCTGATGAGCGTTCAACCGTGCATGCTTGGGTCAAGGGAAAAGAATTGAACTGGGGTTTTCAGGGAGGAGGAAAACCAGCCCATGTACAGATTGGGCATCCTGTCAGAATCAGACATTATGTACTCAGAACATGAAGTACCAGGCAGAGTGACACCACACAGGGTACTTTATGAAAGGCAAGTGATTTTTGAGGGTAAGTTTGATAGCAAGCAATTGTTACTCTAAATGACTTCCATGGCCAGTTCCCTTATTTAAGCTGCTTTTACCATCCCACTTGTAGTGCAGGTCTTACCCGAGGCTTGTTGCATTTTTGTCCCCCGCTAAGCTTGGCTGAGACTCGTAAGACAACACGGACCCCTCTTTACCAGCTGTTCCAAGGCTTCCTCAGAGGCCTGATACAGCGTTAAGCTGGGGAATGAGAACAAACCCCTGAGGACCTCGGCCTGCGCTTGCTCAAGTGCCTGAACAGCTCAAGTGTGCCCTGACCTTGCCCAACAAATGAACAGGAAAACCAGGTCACCTGACGCACATCACAGCCCCTCCTGTTAAATGAAGTGTTCAAGCAAAGATTATCTAGGGTCATGGAAGTCTGTGACCTAGGAGGTGATTCTAACTATGCATTTTACTTATATATTTCAGGTCTGTCTTAAAAATAAATCTGGGCAAGATCCCATTAAGCTGAACTTTGCATAATCTATCTTTTGTATTAACATGTTTTTCCCGTACCAGTTTTATATAAATACGGTAGCACATTCTGGCAGAGTAATGTAATTTTTGTTATTCAGTTTTCTCTGATTTGCCATTATGGATGAAGAATACTTCAAAGGGTTTCACAACTGTCTGGAACTAAAATTTGGTCTGGAATAGCATGCTTGGGAAATAGAACTCCTTGTGGGTCATGATCTTCAGGTGACTCAGGGTGAAGGTCTCTGCAGTGTTTGACACTTGACTTCCTTGCCTCCACAGCATGTGCAGAGGACTTTTTCTATACATCCCAGGGGGGAGACACAGCCATTGAGGGTGTAGATGACGCAGAGGACTTTGAGAAGACTCGGCAAGCCTTCACACTTCTCGGTAAGGAGCTTCCAGTGTGAGAAATGGGCCTGGAGGGTGATCATATGGAGGGGTGGCACCATGGTGTCCACATGCCTTTCCAGTCTTCATGAGCTAACACGGGGGGAGCCCTCATGCCCTTGGTAAATGGCATCTCACCCTTTCTCATCCCAACCCTTGGGTTCCAAAGCTTAAAATTTGGAGCTTTGTTGGCTCACCTCTAAAACAAAACCAAAAAAAATTGAGCTGGACAGGTGGGCACAGTGGTGCATGCCTGTAATCCCATTTCCTTGGGGGGCAGAATGATTGCAAGGCCAAGACCAGTAATTTAACGGAACCCTCAGCAACTTAACAAGTATACCCCTTGTCTTAAAAAGAACTAGGATCTACTCAGTGCTAAGGCACTGAGGGTTCAGTCCCCAGTACTAAAAGAAGAAAAGGTTTTGAGCCAGGTGCAGTGGTACCCACCTGTAATTCTAGCTAGTCAGGAAGATGAGGTAGAATCACAAGTTCAAGGCTAACCTGGGTTACATATAGATACCCTGTCTCAAAAATTAAATGGGGTGGGGATGTAGCTCAGTGATAGACTGCCCCTGTGGGCAATCTCCCTGTCCCCCTGCCTCTAAGAGAAGAAAAAAAGCAAGGTTTTGAAAATCTCTTCCAGGCACTATGATCTATCCTGCTTCACTCGCTGGGCCATTGACACCAACAAAGGAAAGCTCAGTGTGGCCGTGCCTTCTGTGCAGTGTCTGGGTTCAGAGGCAGTGTGTTCTAGCAGGAAGAACACTGGGCCAAATTACCTGTGTGCCACAGTCACGGAATCGGAGCTGGAAGCAGACTGTAAAAGCCTGGATGCTCTGTCCCACCTGCAGTGTTGGTTTTGTTACCTGTTTCCATAGAGACCTTAGCAGTGGGATTCTCAAGGCAAGAAGTTCTGTCTGTCCTTCAGGGACAGAAGGGGACAGTAGAGCTAGAGGAGGTTGCAGCTCCACTCTTTGAAGAACCCCAGGTAGCAAGGTGGAAGGTGAGCCTTTCTTAATTGGGAAATGGACATGCTCAATTCCTGGGACCTGCAGCCACAAAAAGGAAAGCCTGAGAATTCAGCCCCAAACCAGCATGTGACTCAGCATGGCCCCATGTCGTTCCCAGCCCCTTCCTTGATAGAGAATTTAGCTTCTGAGCCTCGTGACTAACTCAGTGCAGTCTGTTGTGTTCTGTAGTGGTTGTCAGGGAAGTTTTATTCAGTAGCAAAACAAGGCATGGCCTCATCCCTATGTAGGGAGGAAACCAGGCCCTTGAGTGCTGAAATCCCCATGTCGGACACATCTCAGTGTAACCAGCCCATAAATAGTTCATGGGTACAAGGACAAACCTTACCAGGAGATAGAAATCACACTGGCTATTCCAATGGAGAAAAATGAACATGAACATTTGTTGGCTAGAGCAGCAGAGGGTTAACAACTATGAAGAGATAAAAGAGGACTTTAAGGGTCCAGAATTAGTAGGTACAGAGGCTATGGCTAGGGCAAGGAGAGGCATCCAGTGTGGGAATTTTTGAGTAGAGGAGCCCTGAGCCTTGGCTGAGCTTTAGATGACATCTAAGATTTTGGTGAAGAAACTTGCCGGAGGGTGGAGACCAGCAGTCTCCACAAGCCAGGGCACTTGTCCTGGAGTGGGGTGGGGCCTGGCCTACTGAGGAGCTTTTAATGCAGGGTTGAATATTGAGGGAGGCACAGTGGGAGCTCAGCAGGGAGGTTGCCAGGCACCAGATGACAGTCATAACTAGGGAGGACCAGAAAGGGGGAGGGAGATGCCTCCCTGCTGCATGGCCTCATGTATCACTGTGGTGCTCTCTGTGGAGCATGCCTGGCCTTCCTTCAGCAGGCACAGGACGGCAGCCCCAGTGTCAGCAGGGCAAGGAGGGAGGATATGAAGCTAAGAGAACATACCGAGAGGCACCCACTACTGCCACGGCATCACATGCCTTTTTCTCTATGGCTGGGGGGTTTGGAGGACACTTGACCACTTGATGTGAGAAAGGATTTATTTTTTTGTGTGGGGACAGAACATGTGTCGGGGCCTTGCGTATGCCGGGCAGTGCTATGCCACTGAATTACACTTCCAGCCCAAGCAGGCTGCATTCTGCCAGTTGGACAGACAGGAGAAGGCCTCTAGCAATTGGTCCTCTGTAGTGTGAATGCAAGCAGTGGACAGGAGCTGGTAGGAGTGGGTGAGTCCCTCCAGGGCTCTAAGATGGATACTTTAATCTCAAAGCAGATAGTGCTTGTGAAATTATTTTCATAAGAGCATTAATACTCTAAAAATGTGTCTGTCCCCCACCTTTTTAATTCCAGAGGTTGGAACGCTTCTTCTTAAGAAAAAGCCAGGTGGTTTTTGTTATACCTCCTTCTTTGCTGTGGTAACACAGAAACAGACACAGATAAAATGTGAATGGGTGTGGCTATGTTCTAATAAAACTTTATAGAGAAAGACCATGGGCCACAGCTTCTCAGTGAGATTCTGCTTATTTAGAGTATCCCATACTAAGAAGAGACTTTTTTGTCTGTACACTTTGCCTAGTTCATGTTTGGGTTGTCCACTTCACAGATTATCTGGGAGAATTTGTAATTGTAGCTTGACATGGCTGTGTATCCTGTTTATATAGGTATTACTGACTTCGTTTTTTTTTAGCTTAAGTATTGCCTGAAGATAAGTAGCTGCAGCTAGAGAGGCATGTGAGGCAATAACTATTACTTCCTAAATCCAATGGTAGGTTTACAGATATCTTCATTATCTTTCTGTTGTCTTTCCTTATAAATCTGAAATATATTGTAATTTAAGGAGATACGATAATGGCTTCAAGCTAAACATAAATTTTAAGAGATTATCCATGCCTTTGACAATTCACTTGGGTAAATAACAAATTTGACAGTCCTCTCTGCTGCCACAATTGTTCTGGGCTAGGCGTGCATGTCTGTCACTGTGAGGGCATACGTAGCATGGAGAGCAACCATCCCCATCTGAGCTGGCCGTGAGCCAGCTGGCTGGGCATCCCCTGGAACAGCCACCTTAGGGACTGTTTCTACTCTTCTTTCCCCATTGGCACAGCGGATTTGTCACAGATGTTTGCAGGATATTATGTTGAGGGAGAAATGACTGCAGATAAATGAACATTCTTATTAAACTCATAAAAAATGTCCATAAGGTGCTTGGTTGAAATGAAGTCCAAAATGAGTCTGTGTGATTGCTGCCTCTCGTACGCTCTTGGAGAAGTAAAAATAGTGGCATGACCCATCTGGTCTACTTGGGACAATCGAAGTTGAATATTTTCCTTTCAGTCCAGCAGCCCTTTTGCCCTCTGTGCTGTTACTGTGAGTGGTAATTACATGGTGCACAGCCTGGTCATTTTAGGAGTCATTGGCCCAGGATGGAAAAAATCAAAAAAAAAAAAAAAAATAAGGGTTAAGTCCTTAAAAAGGGTAAAATGTCCTTTGTATCATAGCATGGATATTGAGTGTCATTCATTCACTTTTTTTCTTGCAGGAGTGAGAGAGTCCCATCAGATAAGCATTTTTAAGATAATTGCTTCTATCCTGCACCTGGGAAGTGTGGCGATTCAGGCTGAGCGGGATGGTGATTCCTGTAGCATATCAGTAAGTCGCACCCCAGCACCAGAGATAAAATGGACACAATTTATTCCTACAGTTCGATATGACTGAAATGTGTTTCTGCACTTAGAGGGCACCCCTAGGTTATTCATTCTTAACAGGAATGATTTCTGTTGACTTACTGATAATTTTTTTTAAAAGAACCAATCCATTCAAATCAGCTACTATCAAATGTCTATCAGCGAGGGCAAGGAATTTAGTGGCTCTTCAATAAATTCTTTTTGATGGGTTGATTTACCAACTCTGAGGCACATGGGATTCCACAGCATGTCATCAATCTATGGAGTACTTTCTGGGCTCCAGACTGAGCTTGCTACAACAAGGAAATGAGAGTATTGGGTCCCATACTTGGTGACTGCCTCAAAGGAAGTTACAGTCTATCTGAAAATACAGGACAGGGGACCTTACTGGCCAGGATTATGCCAGTATAAGGCAGACTTTGCAGGACTTCCACAGATGTCTCAAATCTGCAATACTCCACAAAGGCTCATGATAAGGTTCTCGCCCTGGTGCCCAATGTAGTGGCTGATACGCGGTAGATACATTGTCTGCGTGGGTGGTGGAGCAGTTCCCAGTGTGGTGGTACAGACGGCAACTGTTGTGTCCTGTCTGGAATTTAGTGATGAGGGCCTAGGCTAAAACTGGTGCTCTGACTTTGAGTAGATGAATCTACACCTATTTCTACCTATTTTGTGCCTATTTATGACTAGGTCCTAGAGACATACAAAGTGTGAGTCTTATTTCCAAGGACATAGGATTTAAATAACGCAATGCTGGGGAAAGACAAAAGGTGCCACGGCCACTCACAAGGTGCTGCTTTTTCCATTGAGTGGACATTCACTAACCTCTTGTAGATATGGGGTTTAGGGTTATCAGAAGATCAAACTGGCCCTACCTAGGGAGTGGGAGACCTGAGCTCTATCTGGGATCAGACTGAGCTCATCACCTGTTTCCCCTCCACCCCACATTTTCCTTAAATGAGAAATAGGTTTGGGTTCGAGAAGGTCCCTGGGTCTGTTTCCATCCTCACCACAGACTCTGGAGCCCCCACTTGGGCCTGTGGAAAAGGAAGGAATGTTGGGGCTGACGAGCCAGAACAGTTTCTGACCCAAGTTATTTATGTGCCTATTTGTATGCACATGGGGGTACCCTGGGGCTAGCACAGTGATGCTAGGAGAGAAACGGGTGCCTGATGGGTGGTGGGCGAGTCTCTATTATAGGCCAGACCCTCCCGAAACTGAGTCCATAGCGCCATTGAATATAGTTCAATGAAGTCTTTCTCTTAACAAGAAAGGCATAGAGGATCTGTGCCTCCCCTACGCACATACCCCAGCAAATGCCCCACAGATTCTTAAGACAAAGGCATACTCTGTTTTGTGTCAGGGACAGGTAATATTAGGAATCTTGGCATTAACAAGCTCCTGGTTTAGGCTGGTAAGATGCAAGAAATATGACAAAGTTTCCCTGAGCCTCCAGCCCACTGAAAAACTTCTCTGTCTCATCCCCCATGATGGACTCTTTTGGCTGGGGAGGGACTGGGTCAGTTCTGGGGATCAAATGCAGGGTCTCAAGCATGCTGAGCCTGTGCTTTGACATTGAGCTGATGCCCCAACCCCCTGTTTAGGATTCTCAGCACTCTCTACCTCTCCTCCCTGGCATTTAGCATGGCTATTTGGCATTTATCATATGATTCTTTGATTTGCTGCCCCACCCTACCCCCAAACTCTGTGCAAGCAGAGACTGCTCTTGTTCAATATCTTTTATAAGCACAGTGTCCGGGACTCAGTAGGCACTCAAGAGGTAGACAACTGGATGAATTATTGTTCTCTAGGACTTGAAGGTGATGAAAATGAAAGAAAGTATGCATGAGATGGACAAAGATGTTGGCGAGGTTGATGGTGAAGCATGAGAACCAGGCCAGGAGTTCCTGAGGACCTGCAGTAGGGTGTGGGGTCTGGTTCGTGCCATCTTAGAATGGATAGCCTAAATGTCGCTGAGCTTATTTTTCATACCTGGCCTCTGAGGACCTTCAGGGGAGAAGGAAAATATGTCTTAGTGATTGATCAATGCCTGTACCCCCACTAAACTTTAGAACCACATCTGTTATGGTCTCTGCCTGTCGCATTGGCACTTGTAGAATGTTTGTATGAGGTCCATGCCAAGGTGGGACCATCAGGGCACACGTGGAAGAGGAGTTAGAGGATGCAGATGGTGAAGTGGGAGGAACTTAGGCAAATCGGAGCCCAGATGGGGATAGCAACCCTTCTCTTACCAGGCAGAGGGGGCAGGAGGCTTGTGAGCTCAGGCCGTTAGTCTATACTGTCTCAGATGGCTCTGCAAGTAGAGGGTGTCTAAAGGACAGTGAGGGCAGTGACTTGAGCCAATACTGCCGAGACTCAAATCCTGCTTCTGCCACTTCCCAGATGCAGGACTCTGGGAAATTGCCATGCCTCTCTGCATCTCTTGCCTCCTGGGCGGTATAGATGATGCCACCTACCCCAGTGTGAGGAGGAGGATAAAACACAGCCCTGTGTGGAAAGGCCTCAGCTCTCAGCCTGTGGATTGAGGTCATGACTGTCACCATTCTTGATGTTGACCCAGAGTGGATCTCGGGAGCATCCCTCTCACCATATGGGAGAGGAGAATCTAAATCCCAGAGAGAACCTCTCGAAGGCCAGAATGACAGTTAATGGCACAGCTGGGACAGGGTCCCCACTGTGTTCTTCCCCCTGTACCACCGCCAGTCTTGCCCTTTGAGCTGGGATTATCCTCTGCTTGCAGGCAGCTCCCATTGGTGCTAAGCAAAGCAGGGCTCTGAGTACAAGCTTGAGAAATGCATGTTAAGTGTTTGTAGCCTCTCAGAGATGGCTTATTCCTCAGGTCCATGGGGTGGGCTTCCTGTTGGAAAGGTTGTCTACCCATAAGCAGTGTGCCTTCTGCTTGGTAGTTTTTATTTTTAATTAAAACATGAGAATGTGTTCCATGATCGCCACAGTTACCTTGGAGATCCAACAACATCCAATTACTTGGACACCAGAGGCAATTTGTTCCTTGAATTTGGCACTATGGGCCCATAAAACTAATCTGTTACCTATAATGCTGGCTATTTTTAATGGATTTAGTATCAGTTAATTATGTCTAAGTGTAATGGCATGATGTTAGATCAGTTTCAGTTAGCATCTTTAATCAGCAGTCAGAAGCCGGTGTGAGTAGGGCAGCTCACTGCAGGGTGGGTCATCTGTCCCTGGGTGGACAGCAGAATTCCTTTACTGTGGCTCCTCTCCACTGCTGCACTTAGAGCATGCAGCATCAGGAAGGGGGAGGGCACCTGGGAGCAGGCCTTGGTCCTTGTTTTTGCTGCTGGCAGGCCTCTTAAATGTTAGGCACAGCACTGCAGATGGATTCCCTAGCAATTAAGAATTTCTTGGAAATAGGTCAGATGAACAAATTGGACATTTGCCACAGATGAACTTGTTGCTTGCCAAACAGTCCTCAGGCACTAAACTCCATATGGCTTTATATTGGCAGGGGAAGGCTGTAGGGTAAAAGGCTGCTGGCCCAGGGAAGTGGCAGGACACCCCACTGCTGAGCAAGTATAAGACTGTCCACTCCAGCCAGCCCACACCAAGTGGGCACTGTGGCCAGGTGTCCAGGAACCTTGCTGAGCCTCAATTTCCTCATCTGAGTATTAAGGGGGTTGGATCAGGATGGCAGTTCCAAAGGTTCCTGGGAACATGGTTTCTTTGGTAAATAAGCTCTCGGTGTTCACAAGGTACATTTAGCAAACCAGTTCAATTGTCTTTAACCTGATGTGGGTAAAACCAATTAATGCTGTTTGCAATTGTTTCAGAAAAACATGGGTTGTAATGATTTGGGGAGGTTCTTTCTACTGGCATTATATTTTACATTTGTTTTGGGTAGATGGACTTTAGATATCTGCAGGGGAAAAATGGCCTGAGGATGTGTGTTAAGGGGAAAATGATGATAGTTATCCATGTTGATTTTCATTGAACAAGCCCTTCTTTAAATTTTATAAGGTGGCTTCATCAGAAAATGAGTCCTATGTTCAATTTAGGACCATTAGGAGGGGGCATATGGTGTTCTAAAGGATTCCCTTCCAGCCTGAGAGTTGTTAAGCTCTCCAGCAGGCTCAATGCTAGGTTTGCAGCTTTCCCAAGCAGAGAGGAACCCAGAACAGGCTTTCTGTTGGGCTCTGTGAGCGGACAGTGGGAATTATCCAAGAGACTTACATATTTTTTGTGACGTGAGACAAGACACTGTGGGGACTTGAGTTATTCAGTGGCTCAGATGCCAGGTGGTGTGATTGGTAACTGCTGAAGAAGACTCCACTCGGCCGTTGGAGGCAGCTGGGTAGCTAGTGGGTACATTGGGCAGAGGAGCTCTGGGTCAGCAGGACCCAGGTAAGCAATTGCAACTCTTCAGGGCTCAGCTTTTTATCTATATGGGAAAGAGACTTAAAATGGAGAAATTTCCAGGATCTTTCTAGCTCCAAACTCATGTGATTTTTATCAGTAAAAGTGTTTCAACTGATATTAGGTCCAAATCTTCCACATCTTCACCATGTTATCTAACTTCTCACATTAACCTTTCCCAGCAGTAAATGCTTTGAGAATATAAGTGGAGTTGAGTTGCATGTGAATTGGTATTACTGTGGCTAAGGCTACAGGGACGGCAGGGAATAAGTACCAGGAGGGACGTCGTCCATTGGGTTTTAGCTGGTTTTTTTGCCCAGCATGACAGAACACACCCACTGGCATCTTGTGTAATTTGGAATAAGGGGGTTTAAACTTCCCAATCTGTGTTCTACCCACCCAGAAGGCGGTCAATGCTCTGCCATCCTCACCCTTGTATAGAGGAGTGCCTTAAAAGGTCTCCCCAGCCTTAGGAGCCCAAGAGTTATTTTGAACATGCATCTAGTTTGATGTGACACTTGTAAGCAAAGAATTCTGAAGAGCAGGAAGAAAACTGCTTTCCCAGCTGTGGGTTAGCTCTGCACCTGGCCCCCTGCAGATGTAAACTGCTGATTGTGCACCTGCTGCCTGATGGCTCCCAACTCTGGATGGGTCATCCATTCCTGCACTATGAATTCCCTTTCTGCTCCTTTCTCTCGGGCAGTTCCCTCTTCCTGGTTACTCAGCAGCACCTTGGCAGTGGAGGAGGGGACAGAAGGGAGTTGAAGTCCTGATAATTTGGTCTTCAGCCAGTGTGATGATTAGTTTGAGCAACACTATTCTGGCTCTAATTTAGTGGGGGTGTGGTGTATGGGGAGGAGATGGGGTTCTGGGAGGGCTGCAATTGGACTTGTTTTCCTTCTGGGGAGGAGAGAGGATGTGGCTAAGGGATCCGGTCTTTGATAAGTCTCTTCCGCTTGTTCTCTACCCAGCCCCAGGATGAACACCTGAGCAACTTCTGCCGCCTGCTAGGGGTGGAGCACAACCAGATGGAGCACTGGCTGTGCCATCGCAAGCTGGTCACCACCTCAGAGACCTACGTCAAGACCATGTCCCTGCAGCAGGTCATCAATGCACGCAATGCCCTGGCCAAACACATCTACGCCCAGCTGTTTGGCTGGATTGTGGAGCACATCAACAAGGCCCTGCACACCTCCATCAAGCAGCACTCCTTCATCGGGGTCCTGGACATCTATGGGTAGGCCTGCCACCTGTTCCCCCCAGCTTTTGCTCCACCTGCTGATCACCAGGGTCGTCTTGCTGGTATTTAAGGGCTAGCAAGGGACTTGAGAACTTCCTGATCTCAACTAGGGGAGCTTAAAATATGTGAGAGCATTTTTGTCTGTCATGATGAACAGTCACTACTGGTGTGAGGCCAAGGATGGTTAGTGTATTTCAAGATAGAAGGCAGTCCCAAGGAAAAAATGGGCCTCATCAAAACACTAGTAGCAGTCGGTCACAGTGGCATACTCGTGTAATCCCAGTGTCTTGGGAGGCTGAGGCAGAGGAGGATCGATAGTTCAAAGCCAGCCTCAGCAACCAGTGAGACCCTGTGTCTAAATAAAACATAAAAATGGGCTGGAGATATGGCTCAGTGGTTAAGCGCCCCTGGGTTCAGTCCCCAGTACAAACAGAACACTAGTAGCTCCCCTGTTCTGAAATGATACATCTATTTTTACTGCTGGTCAGCTGTGGCCCTGAGAGGGACATGAGTGGCCCATCATCATTCTGTAAGTTACTGTCAGGTTTTGTGTGTTGGTCATGTTTTATTTCAATCTGCCATTCAGCCTCACTGAGTATGTCACCAAAGTGATTTTTAAAGGTGTGATTTTGCCCAGTGCTGTTGGGTGATCATCCTGGTGGACTACCTGGCTAATTGAAAGGACTGTTAATTACAGAGAGCGTTCTTGCTGGACCAGGCATCATGGTGTGGTGGAAGTTGTGCTTGAGGAGCCATCAGGGGATTGGCTTTCTGTGTCAGTGTCATCATCAAGTAACTGAACGACACTCTATAGATCAGTCCCTTTCTGGTCTTTAGTTTCTATAGCTTCCAATGAAGTTCTGAGGCACAGTATCTGGGGTTCTTTCCTGACCCATCTAGAATTCTTTGAAGTTGTATGAAGGGGTTGCAACCCTCCTTGCACTTATCTTCTGACCAGCATCCTGCTCTCTTTAAGCTAATAATAGATGAAATCCTCCTGGATCTGCAAATCCTAGAAGTCATGGCTTCTGCCTTAAAATAGAAGTCCAGACCCATAGAAGTGCAGCGTCATCAGAACAGCGCTGCTCTAGCAAAGCACTGCTTAGTGGGCTGAAACTCAGCTGGGACGTGCCTTGTGGTGAGGTTGGAGTCGAGAATCCTCACTTAAAGCAGCTTTTTTCCTATGCCTTTGCTCTCCCAATTACATTTGATTTTGCTGTTGATCATTGGGATTCTCATTTTGAACGATGCCATATGTATGGTGGAAGAAGAATGAAACCTGATGTCTGGCCTCGCAGAGTCCTCGGGAATAGGCTGCAGAGTTGTGTGCACTAGCTTAGTAATGCAAGAGGTGTCAGAAGGAATTGTAGAATGATCCATTTGAAGATTTGGACACTTAGCAGCTTGAAGGCCAGTGAGGGCACACTTGTTTGCCTAGTCAGGTAAAGCTTTACCCAGAAGGTGAAGTTTGAACTGGATCCTTGAAAGGAGGAGTCCTGGTAGAATGTGGGAAGTTGGGGAGGCACCTTTGGGAATGGGAGGAAGAAGCAAGGTATGAAGAGAACCTTGAGGCTGATGAGGGGCAAAGAGTAGAGAAGGATCCTCAGGAGGGAGGTGGGGGCATGCGTCCTCTCACAGACCCTCCTGGGTTTCAGCAGAGTGACGGGCAGGCCCCTTCCCCTTCTGGCCAGTGGAGCGCCTGCTTTTTGCTCAGTACTTCCAGTTGCACTTGTTGAGAGCACGAAACGGCCTGCGTGGTCTGGGAACTTACTATATAGATGTTGGTGATTGATTCTGTTTTATTCTACCTCAAATATTTTCAGGTCATTACATTTCCCAAGCCACTGACCTTTAGTGTTACCTTCCCAAGGAAGACCTGAAGAAACCCAGGCCTCACTGTCTAACCTGATGCCCTTTATCTGCCTGTGCAAGAATCTTAATTTTATTGAAGCTTTGGTTCAGAAAGATTAGCCTGCAAACTCATTAATAGCCTGTTTAAAAAAAAAAAATTATGACTTTGATTGTAGTGATACGTAAAATGTTGTGCCTGAGTTCTATTGTATTATGTATTTTCCTAACAGTGCCTTGAATTTAAATAGACTATTGCTCCCTTCCCAGGAATTCCCAGTGACAGCCTGCCCAGTGGTAAGAAGCCTCTGGAAGTTAAGCTCCTTGGCCTGCTGAGTATGCATTTGTCAGCTGGGCTTATGCAAGCTAGGATTTTGTGCTTATTTTTGTTAAATTTTTACAATTGAATTTATTTTCCCTAAGCTCCCATGACTGCCCAAAGAAGAGATTTAGAGACAGATTGCAGGGAGGGTTTGTGGTTTGAAAGGTACAGTTGTCAGTAGTTGGGGTGACAATCCAGAGGGCCCAACCTCCTAGTTCTAGTGTCAGCTCCTGGACTGTGTGTCTCCCTCATACAGGAGAGCCTGTGGGCTCCTTGGCGAGTATCCAACAGCTTCTGAGAGCAGGTCCCAACACAGGCCACATGCATGCAGCCCCTGATGAGCACTCCAGGGAACTTTTCTACACTTACTGTTTCCTTCCAGACATACTATGGTGTTTTCCCTTTTATAAATCCTTGTCCTATCTCAGGAGCTTCCTTTTTTCCTTCTTTTTCTAACTGCATTATGAAATGATTCATTCTCCTCTTGGAGAAAAGTAATAGTTATGCATGGGTCTCCATGTCTCAGTGCTGAACTTGCACCCTACAGGCAGAAGAAAGAGTGAAATATGAGCTGGGTTAGGGTTAAGCCAGCTGTCTCCCTGGGCCACTGGATGCTGGGAAAGCCCCTCCAAGCTTTCCCTAAGTGCACATGCACTCCTCAGCAGCTTGGTCTGCCAGGAAGTTTTTGCATCCACATGGTTGGCTCCAGGCTCATTCTCCTGGTCAGAGGGCATGTGATGAATGCCCAGGAAATTAAAACCACTTGGCCACAGACACACAGGTGGATTGAGTCTAGACACATTGCTGATGTTCTCTCAGGTCAGTGACATCATTTTTTAATCTGGGAGATAATGAATATTTGGAAACTTGGGATAAAGCCATGAACTATCCACTGTCATTTCCTTGCTCCAGTTATGGTGTATGTACTGCCTTCCTTTGGACTTGAGACACCTTCCAGAGATCCACTGAATTTGTCTTGTTTTCTTTAATGTGATGATGACTTGCTACCGTACCCGTTGCCCTGTGTACCCTCCTCCCTCCTATTTCAAGCTTATTCCAGTCGTTGGACTTTCTCAACACCTGTGGGAAATGATGATCTCTAAGGAGCATCTCTCCTCGATGGCATCAGGAAACTCTAGCACTGTTTTTATTTAATTTGCAGTACTGGGCATTGAACCCGAGAGTGCTCTGCCACTGAGCTATACCCCCGGCTCTTTTTATTTTGAGGCAGGCTTGCTAGGTTGCTAAGCTGCCTCTGCAGGATGATGGTGAACCCTCTGCTCACAGGCCCTCCTAGGCCATCCAGACACCCAGCATCCTGGTGTAAGGACTGCTTGCCTTCATGATGTTCCTCTGTCCCAGCTCCAAAAGTGCAAAGCAAGCAATGCCCAGAGCACTTCAGCAAACCCAAGTCAAGCTGCTCCCCTTAACGAAGGGTATGTGCAGCTTGCCTTGGGGTATTTCTTTCCAGGCAGGGGATGGAGATTAATAGAGGAGAGCCTGGCAGCTTTTGGCTGGGGCTTGCTTTTCAGGTTGCATAAACCTGTTTGCCTCTATGGGCCTGATTAGTTGTAACCTTTTCTTTCTCTTGCCTTCTTGAGGCAATGAGAAATGCATGTCTGTGTTTTGGGGAGAACAAACATTGGTCTTTGACTTCAGCCTTCAAAATGCCAAGGTAGTGTGGGATTTGGCTATGGCCAGCGGGTCTTGCTGAGAACAATTGCCTAGGAGACCTCTGGAGCAACACAGGATGTGATAGATTCATGTGTCCTGTAGAGACATAGTGGGAAGAGGTTGGGAGGAGGAAGCAGGGAAGTGTAGGCTCTAGGAATTGGGAAATGGATTTTGCTGTGATTTTTATATGCTTCTCTGTCATGTGTTATTTTATCATATCCAACTTTTCTTGGGGGGGGGGGAGAGATTGGGGATTGAACCCAGGGTCAATTAACCACTGAGTCATATTCCAAGCCTTTTGTTTTTTGAGACTGGTCTCTCTAAGTACTTAGGACGTCAGTAAGTTGCGGAGGCCAGGTGAACTCATGATCCTCCTGCCTTTGCCTCCCAAGTGGCTGGGATTACAGGTGTGAGCCACGATATCCACCCAGCTTATTTAGTGCTTTTTAATATTTTTAAAAATATAATTGCAAACATAAAATTGACTATCTTAAACATTTTTTAATTGTATAGTTCAGCACTATTAAGTTTATTCACATTGTTGGGGAAGTTCCCCCAAATTTTTGTTTTGCCCAGCTAAAGCTCTGTACCCACAAAACAATTCATTTCTCCCTTTCCCAGTCCTCTTGCAGCCATCATTCTCCTCTCTTTGACTATTTTGGATATCGCATGTGAGATTACCTTGTATTTTTCTTAGTGATTGGTTTCACTTAGCACAGTGTCCTCCAGGTTCATCCATGTTGTAGTATGTGACAGGCTTTATTTGTAAAGGCTGAATGATTTCCCATTTTTTGGTAACAGTTTGTGTATTCATTCTTTCACTGATGGACATTTGGATTGTTCACATCCCTAGGCTTTTGTAAATAATGCTGTAGGGAACCTGGGTGTGCAAAAATCTCATCAGGGTCCTGATTTAATTCTGCTGGATGTATACCTACAAGTTGGATTACTGAGTTACATGGCAATTCTGCTTTTACTAATTTGAGCCATTTCCATATTTTCCATAATGATTCCACCATTTAACATACCCAACTGTACAGAAGGATTTTACAATATCAGTTGAAAAGTCAACAATCGTCACCAGCACCAGTTATTTTCTGGATTTCTTTGCCTAGTAGTCACCCTAATGGGGTGAGGTAGTATGCAACGGTGGTTTGATTTGCCTTTTTTCTAGTGAGTAATGATGTTAGTTATCTTGTACCTCTTGGCTATTTCTATATCTAATATGAAGAACTATCTACTCAAGTTATTTTGCCCATTTTCAAAATTAGGTGGTTCTTGTTGAGTATTATGAGTTTTCTACATATTCTGGATATCAGCCTGTTACTGAAAAAAGACTTGTAAGTATTTTCCATTCTATAGATTGACTAAGGATGTATTGTAAGTAAATTGCTTAGATTCACTGTTGGTCTTCATTTTGATGGAAGAAAATATTCTTTCTTTGGTTTGCATTGTTTTCTTGGTTCTACTGTCCAAAACAAACTTACAGATAATTTTATAGCCCCAGTATAGTTTTTCAGAAAAGGGTCACCTAGCTTCTCCCTGGTCAGCATGAAAAAGTGTCAAAGGAAATACAGGGGAAGAAGTTCAGTGACCGTCTTTGCCCTCTAACCCATGGACAGTGGCCGAGAAGCTCCCTGGGTTTTTCTTTTTCAGGGTGGACATCATGGCTGATCCTAGTGTTATTTGAAACTATTGGATTCACCCAGGACACTCTCTCAGCCTTAGAGGGGAGCCTTAAAACTCAAAGTGCTCCAAAACAATCTCAGCCTTCCGAGTTTCTCTGAGGCAGCCAACCCTTTGGAATGCGGCCCTCCTTCATGCTTCTAAGGCTCAGATTAAGTTCCATTTTCTTGTCCATGCCGGCAACTCCTCCCACAACCTCGATTGCCTCTAAAAGCCTAAAGCAAATAAAGTTTAGACTCTGTCAAGAGGTTCTCATATGCTGGCTTCCTATCTTCCCAGTTGCTTTTTTCCAGCAAGAATCATGACTTGCTGTTCTTTGCAGGTCTCAGTTCTTGGAACAGTTGGCTGGGAGAGGATGACCAGAGCGTAGGCATTTTCCTCTCCCACTTCAGAGCTCCAGGAATGAAGAGGGGCCAAGAATTAGAAGCACGTGGCAAATGGGGCAGATGGAGGTCCTTGAGAAGACCAATTATTCTTGGCCTTGGGTGTGAGTGGTCCCTTGAACTGTGTTCTTTCTGTCTCTTGTGGGGAGGGGACATATGGGCTCAGAAAGAAGTACATGGGTAGAATTTAAGTCCTCCTGTTTGAAGGTGCAACCAACAACCCAAGTTTGAGGAAAGCTCACTAATATCCTGCAAGGTCCCCTGTGAGGATCATGAGCTTCTGGATGGAAAGGAACCTTGCAGGGATGTTTGGATCACCTCTCTGGTCCCAGTACACCGAGGTCCAGTTTTTACCGGCTAGTCTAGAGTCAATTTCCCTGTCATTTTTCCTGCATGACTTTTATCCTTTGGTGGAAGTCCTCCCCTATGAATCCTGTGTTCCATGTGTTTACATTCTACCAAAGGCAAAATGCTAGGGAGTGCTCTTTGGAACCTGGATAGGCTGAGCTTTGGTTCCTTTGCCCTGCGCTCTTCTGGGACAGCTCTTCTGCCCCACCCGGAAGCTTCATGCTGTCTCACTGCTGACTGCCCAGGTTCTGGAGCTGGGGATTCACGGAGGGGAATAATTAACTCCGGGTGGCTAGTCAACATCTTTACTGCACTTTGCAACAGTTACGGTGTCATTTTTAGAGGTATTTGGGCCTTGGCTACACCGAAAATTGCAGTACAATGAGAAGGAAATTGTTGACTTTTCAACTGATATTTTAAAGATAGAAAGAAATGAAAGCAGGGTGATCCTTGTCCCTCCAGCCGTGTAGATGCCACATCCTGGTCTTATTTTATGTTTTGAACTTCCCTCACCCACGGATTCTGGTCTATATGTTCTCCACATTGATCTTACAAGGGAAATCCAATTTCTCTAGTATATAAATTTCCTTGTGACATTTTAATGCTGTGAATTATAAATTGGTCCATTGTGATTATTTTAAAAAGTCATCTGTGGATGGGAAGGATTACTCCAAATATAATTTCATGGCAGAGAGGAAGTTGCCCTGTCTCCCTCACTGGGGCTTTCTGAGCTCAGTCCTCTTAGTCATGTTCCAAGCTCCCTGAGCCCCTCCTCATCTATCTGTGGCCCTCCGGCATTGCAGCAATTACACTAGACGGCGGAGGAATGGTTACCAGATAATATCTTAGAAATAGCAATATTATGAGCTAATTTCAGCCATCTCAAATTAATGAGAATGTTCTTCATGGAGTACAACCAATGTAAACCTTAAATGAGCAATATTTAAATCTTTTCTTTTTTTTATCTGTGGAGCTCAGGAGGAGCTCTGCCAGCACGTCCCGTTGCCGCTATTGAGCCAATTGCTGGGGTGGCTTTTTTTTTTTTTAATCTTTGGATTTTATTAAATCTCCTTTGGTCTCGACTATCATTAGTAGTCTTTCTTGGGATGGTGGGGAGGAGGGAATGAGGTTCTAAATGACATAATTCAGTCTGTAGGACTATCCCGTGGGCTGGGAGGGCCGCACTCCAGGATAATGACTGAGCGACACGGCACTTTTCTGCCTGCTCTGGATCACACAGAGGTGGCCTCCTTCATCCTAGCATGGACTTGCATCTTTGATCTTGTTTTATTAACCTAGAATTATTTCTCCCACACAGGCATGGCCAAAGGCTGTACTTTAATGCGGTTGTCTCCAACCAGTTGACTTCTTTGATCTCGAGATGACTTCCTGCTTATCCATGTCTTATACCTTAGTGGGGAGGTGGGCGTGGGAAGCCTAAAGCTTTGTAGGCACTGACTCAGGCCTGTTGGGTGATGAATCTATTTTTGGTGGTCCCTCTGTATCGATTGCCATCTCCCCGCCACCATCATCACTAACCTCATCTGGGGAAGCATATGAGCATTTCTGTTTGAAAGTAGTACTTGGGGAAGACACTGTCTCAACATTGAGAGAATTTGATATTGAGGAATGGGGAGGTGTGGAGACATAATGCTGTAGGCTGCATGGGCCTGTGCCTCAGGCCCCTATTGGTGGTATCACTGTCTGTCCCTCCCACAGTGTCTCAAAAACCTCCCCTTCTGGGAACTTTTCCTTGTCCTCAGCTCCTGTTATTTATTTTTATTTTTTTGAGGGGGATGGGGGATGCTAGGAATTAAACTCGGTTTTATGTCTGCTTTCCCTAAATTTTCCCACTATTAGTAATTTTCTAGTTATGGAAATAGCTGTCTAGTTTCCCTAACTTATGGAGGTTCCCTGTAGTGCTGATGTCTCTAACAGTGACCTCTGAGCCTTGGAGCAGAAATGGGAGTTCAGTGCTGGCCTTAGGGTTGAACTGGCGTGGTATAGATGGTGAGGGTAATCTTGTTGAATTCCTGGTGAATTTTTTTTTTTTTTTCCGTAAACAGAGGTGTCTTTTTCCTTTGTACTTACCACTTTCTCTTCTGCAGGTTTGAAACTTTTGAGGTCAACAGCTTCGAGCAGTTTTGTATCAACTATGCCAATGAGAAACTCCAGCAGCAGTTCAACTCGGTAAGTGGGGTTCAATAGCAGGGGGCCAGGGCTGGGGATGGCAGAGGCCTGGCTGTCTCATTCTGGAGCAAAGCCCAAATCGCTTCTCTTCCATCTGAGGTCCATGGGTCCCATCAGTGCCCTGATCTCCTCTTGGTTTCCTGGAGGAGCCCCCAGCTTTCCAAAGTGGCTGTGCACTCCTGCAGGGTGGAGGTGACGTGGGAAGCTTTTGACAGTTGATGTTTGTCTCCTTAGCTTTGATTCCCACTCCTCTGATCCTGGGCTTCTAGAGCATTTAAGAAAATGCAGGCTAGGTATGGGTGACTTCTTGTGATTGGTTGGGTAGCGACACAACTGATCATTTAACTATCCTACGGTAGGTGTCACATTTCTCTGTGGGAAATCATCGAACTTTTCTGTTTTGCAGTCATGACTGTGACTTAGTGCCCCAACCTTTTCTGGCAGTGACCTGCCATTTTCTAGGAACCAGAACTCACCTGAGTGTTTAAGGGAGATTCATGTCAAGGTGTGTCTTCATTTTGCTCACCTTGACCTTTTACTTCTTGGCCTAGCATGTGTTCAAACTGGAGCAAGAAGAATATATGAAGGAGCAGATCCCTTGGACCTTGATTGACTTTTATGATAACCAACCTTGCATCGACCTCATAGAGGCTAAGTTGGGTATCTTGGACCTCTTGGATGAAGAATGTAAGGTAAAACTGATGTGCTGTCATCGAACTGGCTCAATTCTAGACTTGAGGCATGGGTCAGAGGACAGTTGTGTGGGATAAGGGAGCATGTGAGATCTTAACACTGTACTGTAATGGGTAATTTATCTGGTCTTAGTGTTCTAGAAAAAGTGTTCATATCCATTCTGCATGTTCTAGAAAAAGTGTTCATATCCATTCTGCATGTGACTAGTGGGTGTCACCACCATGGTAAACACAGTAGGTGGTAGAGAATAGTGTGATGTGGTGGTATGGATTTTGCCCAGCATCCCGACTCGGCTGTGGCCTTCAACAGGATTTGGTGCCTCAGATGTCCTAGATGCCAAGGAAAAAACTCCAAATCTAGTCAGGTGTGCCCAAAGAGTAAGGACATAAAAGGCAGTTTAATCTTTAAGGTGTTAACATGGCTTGTGAGTGATAGCTTTGCATGATGTAGTATCAGGCCAGATCCTTATTTAGCCCCATGTGATTAAGTTTACTCTGTCCAGTTTTGGGGGGAAAGTTGTCACCAGCAGGTAGAGCACCTGGCAACTTTGGGAACAGTAAGGTGACCTGACTTTTATCACTTGCCTTATTTCTTTGGCTTCTAGTTCCTGCTTTGAATAGATGGGGGTTGGATTTGATGATCTGGATTTCTTCCAGTTTTGTGCTTGATTGATAAGGAGGTAGATACATACTCCTCCTCCCAGTGATGAAAACTAATTGAAAGATGTGGAAGCCACATGGGGCTTGGAATGGAACAGGAAGAACCCCACTGCTTGGACGTTCTGGTCCTCGACATCTTTACCATGAAGGAAGGAGTGTGCCTCAGTAATTGGAGGAGGAGCTGACCTTCCAGAGGAGCGCTCCTCATTTCCTCACCTTTGAAATTGAAAGATAAACAAAATGGTAGAAGTCAGTGTAAGACATACTGACCCCTACAGCTGGCACATTCTTATCCCCTATCATTTTCCAGCATCTCTCTGGAGATGTGGGCTCTATTGTCAGTGTCAAAGCAGGGATCATTTCTCAGTATGTCAGGTGTTTGTCTGGGTTCACCCAACCTGAGAGTTGCGATTAAGGTAGAACAATTGTCCCTGGATTGAGTGGCACTGACTGAATGGCTGGAGTCACAGCTCAGGCCCTCCTGTTTCCCTCCTGCTGTTGATGCTCACAGACTCTCCTGGTTCAGTGTCCCCTACCAACAGCCCTCTTCCTAAGCTCGGCCAGGAGCATGCTCCCCCCTCAGTCTCTCTGGAGATTCCTGTCAGTGGCCATCTCCTCCAGCTCCATACCTCCAACCCAAAGGCATCCCGGGGTCCTGTGTCCAGCCCAGGCCTCTGGGGGTACTGGGCCGAGGTAGCTCTTCAGCCTTGCTTTAGGCCATTTCCAGCTCTCAACTCTCTTCCCTTATGGTGAAGGTGAAAGTCGAGCACAACTGAGGGCAGTTACCCCTATATGGGTGGACCTGGTTCTGTGCTGAAGAGTTTAATGAAGCAGGCCCCAGGGCATGGTCTCCCCATTTACTCACAGCCTCTCACCAAAATCAGGGCTTCAGGATGGCCTGTTCTGCAACTTAGCAGCTGCCTAAAGACTTACCCTGCCCCTACTGCAAGCTGGTGGGTTTGCTTTGGTTTATCCTTTGAAGATCTGATGGGAGTGTTAAACCAGGGCAGTGGGAATACTGTCCCCAGTGCACAGACGGGTGTGGTGTCAGATGGACAGAAACCTCAGACGGCTGTCCAAAGGTGGGACACAAGCCCCTGGAAAGGCTGGAGCAGTGCTGGGCTGGAAACAGCGGCTTCTGGGAGTGGGGTGAGGAGGCAGCAGTTGGTGGGAACAGCAGTGGTTCAGGAAAAGAGGCCCACAGTCCAGGCCGTGTACAGCACCCAGACTTCTGCACTGCAGCACGGGATATGTCCAAAGGGCACCCTCACCCTCCTATCTTGTTTCCTTTCTGCATACGTGCCACCTGGGGCATCATGTTGGGAAAGGAAAATAAGCCTGTATTTCAGATTCTTGCCACTGTTTTTCATCAAACACCAAAATGTTTTGCACAGCTACTAGATGTCTCATTGGGAGGGAAAAGCTCATGGGAGAGAAGGGAAGGGATCTTAGGGAAGAGTGATGATGAGATCATGTTGGGAGGCCCTAGGCTCCAGTGAGCCGGGGGACTAGGAAGTCTGCATGCAGGGCCAGCATTTGGAGTCTGTGGAAGGGGTCTGGACCACAGTCCAAGGAGAGCAGAGTCACAGCTGAATAGCATTAAGGGCAGTTTGGGTGCCCGGCCCTGAGCTCTGCAGCCACTCTGATCTACCTGAGGCTGCTTGGACGGTTTGCAGAAAGCCTACGTTTCCTCCTCATGGAGCTGGTGGGAGCTTGGAGTGTCGGGATGCTGGATAGAGTACTGTGGATGTGACACATTGAACCTCACTGGTGACCACGGTCACCTGTGTTGCTAGAGACATGAGATGAACACCGAATAAAGGAATGAGACAAAAGCCCATGATGAGGGAGACAAAAAAGTACCAGATTTAATTGCTCTGGGAATTCTGGATGATGGAGAATAATCTGATGCAGCTTCTAGTAACAGGTGGCTTTAAAGCCAGCAGATGTTATTGTATTTGTCAAAACTCATGCAGTTGAACCCTTTAAAAGCAAGCATTTTACTGTATGGAAACTGTACTGTATTAAGTGACTTTTAAAAGGCAGTGGGCCTGCTGGGCCCTTCTGGAAGTGCCATGGCTGTGAGCCTGAGCAGGTGAGGATTTCCCGTGGAATTGGTCACAGCTGGGCAACTTGGCTTCTCTCAGGACTGATCCTGTTTGACTAAGAGCCACTTTAGACAGGTCCCTTTCTTCCTCCTAAGATCCTCTGCAGAATGAGAATGAGGTCACACTTAAAGAATCGAGTTCTCTGGCCCCTGGGTGACAGCACTAAGCCAAGTAAGGGTTGGACTGGTAGTGTGAAGCCACCCGCATAAAAATCACTCTGGAGGAGATGAGCAGGGGCCAGGTCTGAGCTGGGGCTTCAGTGGACATGAGCTGGCTGCAGACTTCAAGGGGCAGCTCACAGGTTCTCCCCAGGCCTGTGACGTGTGCCAGGACCTGCAGGGAGGCATAGGGACCAGAACATGAAGGCACTTGGGTTCCTTCACCAGAAATAAAACCAGCATCTTCAGCTTAGCAACGAGACCTCGAGCAAGTCACAAACCACAGCTGTCCCTCAGTTGTCCAAGGGCGGGAGGCAGAAAAGGGGGTGTGTGCTCCCAGGAAATGCTCATTTCCAGGCTGCTGTGAGCACAACTCACCTGCACCAATGGGATGCACTTTAAGGCTGCCTCGAGGTCCTCTCCTAAATGGATTCAGACTGGGTATTTCCTGCCCTCCACTATCCTGTCCATTGTCTCCTCCCTCTACGGGGGACAAGCTAGTGTGTGCTGTTAGGATATGAGACTTTAGTGCTTGCTTTCCTCATGGGTGACATATTTGCATTTTAGCAGGAATCTTCTGGAAATACCTTAAGCTCTGGGAGCAATGGTGATAAGTAAAAGTGCAAATTGCTGCTGCAGGCCAGAGAGGTGTGTGTTTGGGGGGGGTCCCCAAAAGCAGATCCAACAGGGGAGGCAGGCTCTTCCCTCTCTGCCCTGTGAGACTAGGATTCTTCCATTTCATGGAGCCCAGTCCAGCCCCGCCTGAAGAAGCTATTGTACCATTTTTATGACTCCACAGTGACATCAGGCTAAAGGCAGTGGGGCCACTGCACTGCCTTCTGTTTGCTCATCCAGGGACAGCTTGCTGTCAAGGACATTTACTCTGTCCAGATCAAGGGTTCAGGGTTTCTTCAATGGCCCCAAAGCTCCCCTAAGTGAAGATGGAGGAGGAGCCTGGGGCAAGGAGGCAGAAGATGTGAACTTCCTGGGAGGACAGGGCTTTGAGGAACTTGGCAGTAAAAAAGCCACCTCTAGTGTCTTGGAATGAGCCGTCCCAAGGGATTTGTCAGACAGAGGCCAACCTTCAGTAATTGAAGGTGAGGATGTGAAGATGGAGGCTTTGACCTCCTTCCTAGAGGCCTGGCTGTGAGGAGCTGTAGGCAGAGGTGGGTGGGATGCTGGCCTGCAGAGCAGGAGGGTGGGGAGGCTATGGATGCAGATGTGCTTCTGGATGTTTGAGCAGGAGATTGTGATTTCCTGCTTGACAACCTCCATTTCCCTGTGAAGAAGGAAACGGGGAACATGCCTAGAGGAGGTAGGTCAGAAACTGCAGAGGATGGAAAAAGCAGGCACGAGAATATGAGTGCACAGGTGTTTGCTGAGGTCAAGGACTGTAAATGAGATTGAGGGGTCATCAAGGTCATCTCCCTGCTTGGATGTGGGAGCAGCATCTTAATCCCCAGAAGTGAGTCTCAGTGAAGCCTGGTCCTAGTTTCTGGCAGCAGTGTTGGTGAAGGGAGGGTGAGTTGATGTGTGGCTTGTTCCAGCCTCGGGGTGAGGAGATGGAGTTGAGGGATGCTTGAGCTCTCTGCATTTGGTGCTCTGCGGAGCATGGGGTGGGGTGTGGTATTGGGAGGCTGCCTACAGGGTGCAGAGGAGGGAGTCGCCTCCTCCTCAGAGAGTTATAAGAACTGCAGAGTCCTGGACCCAGCTGGGCTTCTGTGATGGCCAGGAGGGAGCAGAAATTCTCCTCAAAGAGCTTGAGGATCCAGAGGTCCTGTGATGCAGTGGTGAGATGAGAGGTCAGCAGGAGTAAGAGGTGCCAGGAAATGAGAGGTATGGGATGGAATGAGAAAGTGGTGGGGGAGGCAGTCATTGGTGGCAGTGGCCCAGGAGGATAGGGATATAAAACAGATGAATAATGGGCTGTGAGGTCCTCAGCACTCATCTACTATCTGTTGGGGAAGATGCTAGCCCCAGGTGACATGATAGAATAGTTTCTGCTCAAGGTTCCATTGTGGGGGGGGTGGGGGTGGGGGAAGTGGTCCTTGGCCATAGGATATGATCAAATGCTACTGGTGGAAGAAGAGTTTAGGGAACCCAAGGGCTTTCATCCCCAACCCTGTTTTTTTTTTTTTTCCTATTTTAATAACAAAGAGTAAACTTGGTTTGTTTTGTAAATGGCCTTGTTGAGAGAGAACGCATATCATGCCACACAGTTTATCCATTTAAAGTATACAGTCCAGTGTTTTTTGGTTTATTCACAGAGCTGTGCAACCATCACTTCCACAGTCAATGTCAGGGTATCTTCATTACCCCAGAAAGAAACCATTAGCAGCCATTGCCCACGCTTCCGGCTGTCTCCTTGAATTTGCCTGTTTGGGGTATTTCATATAAATGGAACCTTCACTTTTTTTGTGTGTGCGCACGCGCTTGGGATTAAATCCAGGGCCTTGTGCATGTGAGGCAAGCACTCTACCAACTGAGCTATATCCCCAGCCACCTTCACTTTTTGATGTTCCATTGTTGGGGGGTGGAGGCCAGCACCATACTGGCAGAGTTTAGACCTGAGGACAGCTGGTCCAGGGTTCTCTCCACACTTTGAGTGTCAAGAAGCTGATATGAGGTCATGTGCGGATTTCTTTCTAAATGACTTGAAGCATCTTCAAATTCCAGAGCTTCTGATAGCCATCATCCACATTGGTCAAAATGCAAGATTCTCTTTTTCCTATGGCTGATTAAAATCTACTTTCGTGGAAAGAATCCCGGAGATTAGTGCCGCCTTCCACTCAAACCTGCCTTCATGACTGCCTTGAACTCTATTGTCAGGCTGAAAAGCAGAGTGGCAAAAAACACATGCCCCACAGCCAGCCCATCCTGGCTTGGGGCTTCTCCTCAGCTGAGTGACTTGGGCTAATTACTTAACCTCTCAGCCTCAGTTTATTCCTAAAGTATGTGTATATATAATGTAAGGATTCAAAGCATTGATGAATCCAAAATGTGTAGCAAGCTTCATGACAAATAATACTAGCCAAGGCTCAAAGCACTTATCTAAGAATCTTAATTGTTTTGAATTTTTGCTGGTTCCTATTTTTAGTTGAAGGTGGCTATGGAGTGAAAGTTGGGATATATGTATACACATGACCTTGACTGTTGGTCTTCTCTGCTTATCAATTCAGGCCAGTCTGAATTAGTGATTATGTAGGATCGATTGCAGAGTCTTCTCATGGAAGTTCAATTTTTTTTTTTTTTTTTTTTAGGTGATTGTTGCTAAAAGATATCAGTGTTGGCTTAGGTGGAGCTTCTGCTCATGGTCTGCTTTTCCCAGTCTCACACTCTCTGGCCTGTTTGGTCCTGACAGCCCACCAGGCTGACCCCTCCTTTCCCCACACCTGGTGGTTCTAAACACAGAACACTTGGAGACAAATATAAAATAGTGTATATATAGAAAATGCTGAATTAAATATATTTTACTGTTTGCCCAACACAATTAATAGCTTCTTTCAAGAAAGCATTTTCTTTCCTTGAATTCCCAATGGCGCGTAGCACTGGGGATTCAAGACTAGTTGCTCCACGTTGAATCTTGAGAAAAATGTTTGCTTACAAAGGATTAAAGAAGTTTGTTCCCAAGTACGTAAGCATTTTCCTTAGGGCACAAATTTTATTAGCAAAGCCCTTTTTAAATGGTTGCTACAAGGGTCACCTTCAAACCCTGTCTGATCCAAATGTGCAATCTAAACTAATGAAGGGCAAATCAGTTAACCCCTAACTGAGGACTGCACCAGTTCTGACCATGGGTGTCGAGGATGACAGGAGGGAGGCCCTTCCCACTGGATAAATTGCTGTCATCTTTGACAATTTGAATGGTGGTTATGGTGTTTTTTATGTTTTCAATGAAGCAAGATGCTTGTTTACTTTTGAAGCTATCCATACAGATTTTAAGAGGGGCTGCCCTTCAGAATTCTTAATGTAGGGAAACCTCTAAGTCTGAATTGATATTTGTGAGGAGGCAGAGATTGTCCCAAGCAGTTCAAGCACTAGGCACTTGGCAGGAGTAGAACCCAACTGTGGCTTATGTGTAATGACAATACCCAGAAACCAATTAGATGATGTGTGTTAGAGCTCAATTGTGAGGAATTCCAAAGAAGAGAGATGCAAAGTCGGGATAGAGCAATGGGCCGAGTCTGGAAGCTGGTACTTGGATGGGCTTAGGAGTAGGGTCCCCTGAGTGAGCTGGAGGACAGGGGCGTGTTCATGACACTGCAGGAAGAGGCATCTTCTGGTGGCTTCATAGTGACTCTGCCTCCATCCTCAGCCTCTTTGTACTTCCTGCTTCAGCCAAACAGTAGGTCCTTTGAGGCTCAGCATGCTCCCATGGGGGCCAGCCCCACATGCTGGGTTAAGGGTCTCCTCAACGCCCATGGTACACTTATTCTTTCCACTGTCCAGTAAAGGTCCCGGTTTGAGGACTGAATCCACTTCACAGAGCCAAAGTGCTGACAGACTGTCCCTCTGCAGTGGCTCTTTGCTTTCCTTTTCACAAAAACCTCTGTTCTGTGCTGTGGCTCTGCAGGTCCCCAAAGGAACTGACCAGAACTGGGCGCAGAAGCTCTACGACCGGCACTCCAGCAGCCAGCACTTCCAGAAGCCCCGCATGTCCAACACGGCCTTCATTGTGGTCCACTTTGCAGATAAGGTGGCTGTCCTCTTTGCCAGCTTTGTACTCTCTTATCCCCACTTTAGGCAGAGTGGGGTTTTTAGGCTAAGCGAGCTGTCCTTTGTGAAGGTGGCTATGGAGTGAAAGTTGGGATATATGTATACTCATGACCTTGACTGTTGGTCTTCTCTGTTTATCAATTCATGCCAGTCTGAATTAGTAACTATGTAGGATCACCAAGTGGCCCAAGGTGTCAGGTAGGTTCCCGGGCACCCTTCCTTCCCCACCCTGCCCCATCTCTGGTATGCCAGACTGCTGAGACATGGCTCAAGCTCATGGGCTGTGGCAGTTGCTGGTCAGATGCGTCATCAGTGCTATTGAGAGCCATTCTGGGAAGAGCGCAGCCTGTAGAGCTGTTAAGATCCCTCCGTCCCAGAGCTTGAGAGGAAAAGAGGCTTGAAAACAGAAGGGTAGCATGTGGTTTGCCTTCTTACATGGGACAGGGCTCCTCTCCTAGTGATGGGTGTGGACACAGAACTTTTCTAAATGGGTTGCTTAATTCTCAGATTGTCTATCACCTAGCGTCTTGTTAAAATGCACATGGCTCAGTCCACTGCGTGGCTTGGAAGCTGCATTCAGAGCCCTGAAGAGGCCTTCTGTTATTGGGATTTCCGTTTAAGAAAATATTTTCTTGCACAAAATGAGTACTAGCTTCACTCTGTAAATCCTGATGGCTTATGGCATTTGCATTTTAAACAGGAACTTGTGTGGATTTCCCAGCTACTCACAGCTCTTTTTAGAACATGCTACGTGGATGAGATGAAAGTACTCACGAAACTGGGGGGGCCTGGTCAGACTGAAGCCCTGATGCTTGTTTTTCCTTGCCTTGCGGCCCAGGTGGAGTACCTCTCAGATGGTTTTCTGGAGAAAAACAGGGACACAGTGTATGAAGAGCAGATCAACATCCTGAAGGCCAGCAAGGTAAAGAGCACTGGGTATGGGGCCAAAGGTAGCCCAGTAGTAGAGCGCTTGGATAGCATGCACAGGCTGCTGGGTTGATCCCCAGCACTGAAGAGAATGGGGATCGGAACAAGGATGTCCATGGCCAGATCTGGGATGGGCGGCTGGTGTCGGACCCCTGTGGAGTACAGGAAGGCAATGATGTTGGGTCAGGTGAAGGGGCTCATTGGTTATTTCAGTTGGAAGACATTTGACTGTGGCCTAGTGGAGGGAAGAAAGCAGGGTGTGTAGTGGTGGGGCAGAGCCCAGAGGAAGGACATGGGAAGGTGCAGGGAAGATGGCAATGAGGGACAATGGTGAGTGTAATGGTGAAAACTTTACTGTCCTCCATCTCCTACCTGCAGATGTGAGATTATCTAAACTCCTTCATGTCCCTCTATTTGTGTATTCCATTTTTGTCCAGTAGTCTGCAGAACCTCTCTAGGCAAAAACTTAATGGAATATGAGCTGAGGCTTAAGATATTTAAATCTACTACTTCAGACTTTGTTATCTCCAGGATTTTAGCTGTTTGCCTGTCGTTACAGAGCAAGGAAAGAACAGATGCTGTGTGCATTCTATGGGTAGAGGAAATAAAGTCCTCGTTCACTCGCACACTGCTCACCCACACACATCTGTTATGCACCTGCCCATGAGGTATTGCCCTAAACCCACCTGCTCATTCAAAGGCAAGCACAGCAGATTCTGCCTTCCAGGTGCTACATTCCCATGGACTGTGAGTGGGCAGATAGGTCGATGCACACAGGTGACTTGAAGGGAGAGGGGCATGGAAAGGAGTTGCATCCAGGAGAGGACTGTGAGCCTGCATTCTAAAGGCCAACACCGAGACAGATGCTGCTGGGGCTTCAGCCCTTCAGAAGAAACCAAGGGAAGGGAAGGACTTTGCAGGATTTAGGAGGCTTTCTCCCAGACGATGTGGCAGTGAACTCACTGCAGGGCCTGATAACAGAGTAGAAATGACAGATTAATTTCTCTTTGTGATAAGCTTTAGATGAAGGCAATAGGGTGAGATGATAGAATGGGGAAAATACACATATACAGAGCAGAATGGACCCAAGGATATAAGGCCAAATAAACCCTGTTGTGTCATGTGGCCCCTGAGGTGGGGAGAGGAGGGAGGGAGGATTTGAGTCAGTAGCAGCATGTGGACTTGCCCTGCCCAACCTCATCTCTGGATATCTCCAACATTAGAGAACAGTCATGAGCCCCTGGCTTTGGGTAGATGTGAATATTATTTTGGAGTTCAGCTCTCCATTAACCTCTCAATTCCCCCAACTTTCCAAGTCTCCAGTCCAAGGTGGTTTGTAGGAGTTTTTCCATCTTTCCCAAGGGTGGGGGTGGGGGCAGTGTGGGAGAAGAGCCTCAGGCCACAGAGAAGGGAAAAGCGAATGGTGTGAGCACTGGAGACTCTTCCCTGTCCCATGTGTCCTAGAGTGCCAAGAGACCCATGGCTTCCTGTGAGTCCAACAGTGGCCCTCAGTCCCGGGATGTCTGCTACCTTGACTTGAGTTTCTCCTTTCAAGGAGAAGCAGAAACGAGGGGAAAGGGAAAGAGCTTTGGTAGTTCTTGTTAAGCAGTTTGTTTCCAATACCACCATTGTGTTGTGGGTTTTGAGTGGTTCTCAGCAATTCCAGAACCTAAAAATAAGCATTGCTGATAAAACTCTCCCCAGCAGATCCCCTTTTATTAGTAACTGAGCTCTTTCCCTTAATTCAACTGCTTAACTGAACATTTGTGTGGTATTTTCTGGTAACTAAGTATAGTCAGCCTCATGGATCTTAATCTAGTGAAGATAGTTACTACACACATATGGAAGTCTAAAAGATACACGTTGTCATGATATATAAGAAGTTCTGTGGAAGGTCAAGAAGGTGCTGTGGAAAAGGAAAAGCGTCTGCTGGGGGCCAAGACCACCCTCAGGTTCAGTAGTTGGCTACCAGGACTCGGAGCTCGGCCTGCAGTTGTACTTGCTGTGATGTGAGTAGAGACAGCGAGAGGACAACTGCATGGAGTGAGCAGGCACAGGGTGGCAAGAGTCTTCCCTTGGTGGAGTCGCATAAGATGTGCTGAGCTCCACCAAGAAGCAAGTGTGCTACTGGTGAAACCTTACCAGGAAATGTTGCCCAAGCCTAGGTGTCCAGGGCTTGAGGTCACTTATGTGGGCCACCTTTGCCTAGCATGAACCAAAATTCTAGAATCCCAAGAGGAAAATAAGTACTCAACATTAACCAAAATGCTGGTATAATTGGTGCAGGCCCAGTGAACCAGTCTTATCAGGAATGCTGAAGTCCAAGTTCCCAAACACGAGAAGGCTTGACCTTGTAAACAGGCCTTCTAAGGAAAGCACAGACTGTAATACTGGCTCTTTACAGAGGCATCATTTTAGATTGGGGATGTTTATTAGAAATGAAATGTAGACTCGTAAAAATTCAGATACTACATAGATAAAAGTCACCCCTTCCCACTCCTTGACACATCTTCTGATGAATTCCTATTCTGCATGTGTGAGCACGTTGGTATGTCTTTAAGATTGAAATAATCGCTATGCATACCTTGTCTTCTAATTTTTTTTTACTCATTATTTTATCTTGGCCATCTTTCCACATGAGTGCACATCTTCTACTTTTCCTATTTTTTAAAAAAACTACTGGCACTTTGCTTTTCAAAAACAGTGGCAGTGAATGCCCTTTATGTGTCTCTCTGCTTACTTGTACAATTATGTCTATTGGCTAAAATTTGAGAAGTGGAACTCATGGTTCAAAGGGCATACACACCAGAAGTCTGTAGATACTGCCGTGCTAGAGGGCACAGTAGGTCTCTGCTCCCCTCTTGGAACTACCTTCTTCCCGATCCACCCACCATAGCTCTAGCTTTCCCTCACCAGCTCATACTTGTAAAGATCCAGTGCCATGTTGCCTCCCCACAGCTCCCTGAGATCCAGTGACAGTGGCCAGCAGCATTCAGGTCACCAGGCAGGGCTGTGGGCAGCCAGAACCCTTCCAGCCCATCTTCAACATCACCAAGGACAGAAGGCAAAGACTGACACTGGGTCACCATGAGCCAGTCCACAGGTGGGCTGCAAACCCGAGAGGGACTCCACGTGTGCTTTCAGTTGTTTGGACAGATGGCGAGTCTGACAGCATCTATCATTTTAGCCTTTTTACAAATCCTGGTTTACCAAGCCTCTGCCTTTTTTGTTAAAGTTTCACGGTGTTCACAGCAGTCCTCCAAGACACGTTTCTAACTGTGTGTTAGGGCATCTTTCTAGGTCTTTATTCTCCCATGTAGAGCCACCCAAGTGGCTTCTGGTTTTGTTTTTACTCATTTTCTTCTCTGTAAGCGCAGCTCGGTCTCAAATCCTTGTGTAAATTCAGTTGAACTTGAAGTACTTTTATTTTATAGGAGACTCCTGGTCTTTTCCCTCGGTGAGGCATCCCTGATAGGAAACCATCCACTTTTCATGAATAATTAAGCAGTATGAGAGGGCAGACTCCCACCTGCCTGGGAGCCCTAGGGATGCTTAAGGAACTCCCACCAAGAGCAGAGAAATAAGCTCGTGTTAATGAGAGTGTAATTAGGAAAGCCAGTTACACTGCCTAAGAGGTTATAATGTAGCTAATTGCTTTCTCGGCTATCACAGAGCTATAAATAGTCTTAAGAAATGCCTCTTTAAGACATGACTTCAAGTTATTAACAGATTCATTTGTTCTAAACACTATAAAGAATGGCAGCTTCTCCCCTCATTTTTATTATAAAAAGGAATATTTCATTAACCTGTTGGGGGTGAGGGAGGAAAGTCCCAAAAGGGAAATAGTTTTTTTCTGAGGACAACAAGCAGTGGGTCACGTGTTTGTGCCAGTAAGAGCTGAGCTGAGCCCGCAGGTCTGACGTCACTTCTCTGCTCCGTGCTGGCAGTAGGGGTCTCAAGAACTGTATAGTCCGGAGCCATTCTTGGCTCAAAGGACTTACCCTGAGCAGAGACAATCCCTGAGGTATAGGAGTCATGGTAGAGTAGCTCAGGCAAGCCCCAAGTGTCCCTTTCTGTCTCCTTTCTGCCTTGTATGGTTTGACCACAGCTCTCAAGGGGAGGTCACGTGGACGAGTCTTTAAAGGCTACATACGTGCCATTTGCAGCAAACATTTGCCTTTTTAACATTTTAATTTTTTCAAAAAATCAGCTTAATTGAGATAGTCAACATTACAAAAGCTTGTTCTTAAAGGTACTTGGAGTGCTGCTTATATGTGCTGGTATTTGAAAAGCTTCTAGAAATACACAGAACAATGAGGCCTCTGTGTAAGAAAACTTCCAGGTGATGGAACAGTGTCACCATCCTCTTTCCTCGGAGGGAAAGTACATGTTACTTCTTCCAGAAAGTGAAGTGCCCAGTCTCTCTCAAAACCATTTTAGGGACTGAGGATATGGCTCAGCAATATTTGAATGCTTGCCTAGCATGCATGAGGCCCTAGGTTATATCCCCAGAATCTCCCTGCTCCCCACCCCTCTCCAAAAAAAAATTGGGTTAACACTCATTTAAACATAATGTTCCTTATCTAAATTTCAGAGATTCCCCACAGGGTTGCATTTAATTGTATAAAAGAGTTAATTGAAAAGAGAACCTATTTTTTATTGTCTACAGCAATAGTATTTAAAGATAAGATTCTAGGCAAGATATCACCATCAAACTGCTTTCCTAGTGTCTTATTTTAGCTTCATGTGTCTGTTACAAAGGAAATCTCTTTTGTATTCTTATAAACACAAGTGAATAGGTGTGATTTCCAAGGTAACAACTTCACAGAGCACTGTAATTGATGTTTTCTTAAACTGTCAAATGGTCTTTAGCAAGTGTTTTGTGCCTCTCTTAATCCTTCTCAGATTTGCCTCAGGTTTTGAAAATCTCTATATAGGTTTCAATATTAGAGAATTCCAAAGTCAGTACTTGTGGACATGTTTCAAATACGTGACAAACACAACTAGGGAAGTGCTTAGCTGGTGTTACGTGTGACTTTTTCAGTTAGAAGACAATGACTTTAGAAAGGCCCAGGTACACACCATTACCCACTGAGTTGAAGGACTTCCCTGTTCCTGGTCAGCTGGCTTACAAACAGGTTTCTCAGTAACTCTTAATAATATTTAACAGCCTAACTGGAGTTAGTAAGTTGAAGAAATTTTCTCCCCTTCACCCAGCAGTGTGGGGTTTTATTGTATTATGAATCCTTTATCAAGCACCTAATTTGCAATCTGAGCTCAGGTTTGTTTATAGTCTGGACACTCGTAGAGGAAGAGGTCCTTCTGCCCCAGCCCTCTTGGAGGGTTGGGTGAGTAGGGTAGGTACTTGATGCTTTTGGCCTGAGTCTGTCCCTTCCAACCCAGGGTTGTACAAGTTACCTCAATCTTTCAGTCACCTGGTCAACCTAGACTCTACCTTTAGGCACTAAGTCTATGCAACAAATCCTGAGTAGAATATGTAGTCTATATCTCCTCCCCCAAAGTTAATGTTCCCAAACTCACCTACGTGTTCCAAGTGCAGAACTCAAATTTTCCAGACTTGGTGTTGGTCATGTTTATACCCAATGATACACAGATGCCAGCTTAGGTTACAGTCTGACTTGGATAGTCTTCCAATTCTCTTCTTAAGTTATATAGCCCTGGTTTCACATATAAAATGAAAAAGGTAAGATGGCTTTTCTGAAGCAAGAGAGGCTGAAATTTTGAGATAATTTTATTGGCAAGTCTGATTTCAAAGTTCCTCATGCAATTTTGATAATGTTTCTGACCTTAGGACTTCACAGATTTTTTTGTACAATAAGTACTCTTCGGCTAGGGATATAGCTCAGTTGGTAGAGTGCTTATCTCACAGGCCTTGGGTTCAATCCCCAGCACCAACAAAAAACAAACTATTGATCACTTCTGTAAATTAGACCCCTTTACCCATTATTATCATGCAGATTGGTAATTTCAGCTCTTGTTCTGAGCATCTTAGAAATCCTTTCAGGAGTATGGATTAGATTAATTGAATCAGCCAGTGTTTGGTTATTTGCCTGAAAAGCTTAACCACAGGATGTCTTTGAAGTGTGGTTTGAAGGTGCAGTTAGCCCCCATTCCCCCCATCGTTTCCCTGTGGAGGTTTTGCTACACCAGTCTAACCTTACCTGTGCTTGGGGAACCAGTCCTGGGAGCCCTCTGGGCTGATGTCTTGTCCTCCTCTCCGATCCTTTCTGTCCCCGTGTTCTCAGTTAACTCATGCTGTGGTGGCTTTCTGCCATAGATGGTAAGGACTGACAAGTTTTAAAGCAGGGGGTTCTGGATGAGGTTTGCATTCATGGCAAACTTTGGCTGCTTGTAGAGTATGTCTGGATGTGGGTGTGATTCCTGACCCAGGGGAAAGCTCAGCAATGCTGAACCAGGGAAGCAGTATTCTGATTCATGCAGGAGGTCTGCTGACACTTAACATCCAGCAGAGCCTAGTACTCAGTTGAGACAGGAGGTAGGGTGAGAGCAGATCACCAAGCTAGATTTCAGAAGGCTGCGTGTGAGGATAGTTTGTGCCATGTTGAACTGGAGTTTCCACTGGAATACACAGAGGAAGGAAGATGCTCAGCAGACAGTTGGAAATATCCATCACGGTAATGAAAAGATCCAGGCTTGGGCCTGGCACGATGGTGCACACCTGTAGTCCAAGTGGCTTGGGAGACTGAGGCAGGAGAATCAAAGCCAGCTTCAGCAACTTAGTGAGGGCTTTTCTCATTAACAAACAAAATGGGCTCCCCAATGGCTTGGTGATTAAGCACCCCTGGGTTTAATCCCTGGTAACAAAATAACAAACCAGACATTAGTAGAGGATCGAGAGTGATAATGGAAGCCACTGGCGTGAAGTAGATTGTCCGGGGACAAGTGTTTGAGAGAAAAAATGGTGGAGATGCTGATCTGGCAAACAGCAGTCCAGAGGAGGGAAGTTCAGGAATATGGGTCAGTGGAAGTTGCTGGAAAGAAACAGAAAGGGAGAGAATGGACGAAGTAGGGCTGCTGTCTCAGGAAAGATCTCCAGAAAGGAGACGTGGGCCAGTGGGCCTCAGAGGGGACTGGTAGCATGAGGAATGAGACCACAGCGCTACTACCTGCTGGTGTTGGTAAGCAGTTCGGATGCCTTTCAGTACATGGAGAGGAGGCCGAGAACATACTTGATATATATTAATTATTATGAAACAGGTGCTAATATAATGGTTTTATATTACTCTTAGGATTAAAAACAAAAATCTTTACCCAAGGTCTACATGAGCTGGTCCATCCCTCCTTCCCTCTCACTGTGTACCCTGTAGCTGTACCCACTTCATGTTAGTCCCCTAAATGTCCCATATTCCATGCATAGAGTCACTTCCACCCCAAACTTTCCTACCGCTCAAATACCCCACTAGCTCAAACGCCCCTTCCTAAGGCAACACTGGTTTCCTCCACACCACTGTGATGGGTTTATCTTTATTACATGTTCCTTTTCATTAGAACATCATCTTGTCATTACGTGGAGATGATTAATGATTTAGAGGAATCATCAGGTTCCGTTCCCTCATTTTATACATGAACAAGTCAAAACCAAGTCAGGTGAACGGGTTTGCCATAGGTCACATAGCTGTAAGGGTAACCTCAGAGGCTGTTTTATTCACTTTGTGTTGCCAGCTTCCAGCACAACTTTTATTGTTGTGTTGATGTTAGTATTGATGAACAGATGGAAGAACTAGTCAATCTAACTTCTAGATTCAGTGACCTCATTTACTTTTTCTTTAATTGTAGATGGACACAATGACTTTATGTGGTGCTAAGGATCGAACTCAGCGCCTCACACATGCTAGGCAAGCACTCTACTGCTGAGCCACAGCCCCAGCCCCTCATTTCCTTTCTCTACTGCAATAGCTCGTAGAATTGAGTACCTACTGAAAGCACCATTATTACGATGTTGGTATATGAATTTTACTCAGATGTTTAAAAAAATCATGTATGAACCGTCTGTTTCTCTGACAGTTCACCAATTCCCTGCCCCTTGATTATGCAGGCTTCCCCCACCCCTTGTGCTGGGGATCAAACTTGGGCCTAACGCATTGCTAGGCAAGAATTCTACCACTGAGTTACACCCCCAGTTCTTTCCCTTCCCTTCTGAAGAAATAATATTTATGACTTTGAAATGAATGCATGAAGAGAGGAAGATGATCCATTTCAAAGATGCTGTGAATAGGAAGAAAATTGTCACCTTTTGGTAGCTAAAACTTGGAGACATCTGACTTCTTTCACTTAGCATAATGTTCTCAAATGTACTTATATTGTATCATGTGAGAGGAGGTCATTCCTTTATATTGTTGAATCGTCGTCCACCCTATGCGTGATAACTACATTTCTCCATCGATCTGGTGGTGACCATTCCAGGCATCTCAACCTGGTAGCTCTTACGCACAATGCTGCTGTGAACGTTGTTATATGGGGTCTTGTGTGGACGTGTTTTCATTTCTCACAACTATGTGTTGACTATTTGGGGAAAAATTGAAACAAAGTATGAGAGATCTGGTTTTTGTTTTCTTTGTGGTTGTTTCTAGTTCCCATTAGTGGCCGACTTGTTTCGTGATGACAAGGACCCTATTCCTGCCACCACCACATCAGGGAAGGGATCGTCTTCGAAGATCAACATTCGCTCTGCCAGACCCCCCATGAAGGCCTCCAACAAGGAACACAAGAAATCTGTGGGCCACCAGGTCAGCTCCAGGCCTGTGACCAGAAGCTGAGCTCCATGGTGCATGGGGCAGGGTTGGCCTCTCTGTAGATTAAGGGCAGCTGCAAGGTCAGGGAGGCCACAGTGACCTTAGCATTGGCAGCCCTGGTCACTAAGCTTGAGCTTTGTATCTTTTGAAGAGGAAACTGCAAAATCTGCCAGAGAGGACTAGCAGAAGAGCCAGGAAGGGGTATGAGGACAGCCCGTGAGTGCATTACCCCTGAGGCAGTGAAGGGCTGCAGTAACTAGTGGGGAGGTGAGAAAGTGGACTCTGCAGAGTGGAGAGGAGAGTCAAATAAATCCAGGGATCAGAGGCAAGAACAGCTTCTCCTGCTCCAGGTCACTGTGGGTATCGTGTTTGGTGTCTCCAGAGAGAAGTCCCTGGCAACTGCCACCTGCTTTTATTCCTATGGGCTTGTCAATTCTGGTCATTTTACAGTCACTTCCAGGATGCTCTGGAATGGTGAGGCTGCAGTGCCCCATGTTTAGCACCAGTACCCAGCAGTGAAATGGCTCATTTCCCTTAGTGTTCACCTGCCTTTTTTCTCGCTTGGTCACTGCAGAGTAGGAGTGTCACTGGAATCGCCCAGGTCTCCAAATTTTTTCCCCTGTTCTCTGGGGTTGATAATAGTAACAATGACCACCACCCTCAGTATGAGTGTTTCTTTATCATACATCCAAAAAAAATGTTGAAAATAAACAACTTGGCTCTGGCTTTTGCTTCTGCAGTTCCGCACCTCCCTGCATCTGCTCATGGAGACCCTGAATGCCACCACCCCACATTATGTTCGCTGCATCAAGCCCAACGACGAGAAGCTCCCCTTCCAGTAAGTGCCTACTGGGCTTGGCCAGCCCCCTTCACTCCACCTTGGAGGCTCAGGTGCAACAGGGTGGGCTCAGCCTTGGGAGGCTCTGTAGCCTCCAGCATGGTGAATGGTCAGGGTGAGAAGATAGTTTCCCCATCCGCTGGAGCTTGCCTTACGCCTGAGCCAAATAGAGGCCCATTTAGAAGTATATCCGTAAATGTGGAAGCCTCGTCTCCGCTGGCAAATGTTAAATTCAGACAGGATGGCAGAAATGGGCAGGAAATGCTTTTCTGGCATTGAAGAAACGGCCATCAGATGGCAGGTAGAGAGACACGCAGGTGGTCCTGCTTCTCGCCTCACTCCGCTGCTGCACTTCCAAGTATCCACCTTTGCTTGTGCTCCCCCCACCCCTTGAGACTGTTTCTTGAAGTTCTATCCATACTTCCAGGTACTTGGTGAGGTCAGTCATGTAATAGCAATTCTCAATTTTCTTTGTCCATCTTTGATTCTGCCAAATTCCAGATCAGAGCTTCATGGGCCAGATCACATTCAGGATGGCCAAGGACCAGGCTCTTTATCCTTTCTTTGGTCTATGGTCTAGAAAATGGCATAATCATCCTGATGCCTCATATACCCACCACACCTGATCGCCCACACTGGAAGCTGTGAACTTCTGGTCAGGTGCTGTCCAGTAGAGTTTTCTGTGAGGATGGGTATATTCTGCAATCAGCAGCCAGTGGTCACATGTGGCTGTTGGTGCTTGAAACCTGGCCAGTATGGTTGAAGAACTGAATTCATTTTGTCTGATTCACTTCACATACCACAGGTGGCTAGTGGCTACCATTATTGGACAGTGTAACCCTTGATTCTTCCTTCTCCTTTACTACAGTGTCTGGTCATTGTCCAAGTCCCATGGAGTATACATGAAAACCTAACACATTGGTCTCTTTTATCCCTTGTTCCAGATTCTCTTCATTTTTTCCTTTAAATTTTTAACACATATCAATTGTACATAATAATGAGGTTCAGTGTGATATTTTAATATGTGCATACAGCACAGACTGATAATCCATTCTCCTTTTACCTACCCTATCCCCTAATTCCTGACCAGAAAGACAAGTACCTCATGTTTTCTCTCATGTGCAAGTTGAGAAATGGACCTTAGTTTAGAACTGTGATCCCCAGAGCCCCATCACTCTTGCCTGGAATGCTGCCACAGGCCCTTAATGGCCTCTTCACCTCAGCATTTCTTCTTCCCTTACTTCGAGCTGTCACATGTGCCCTCCTTTTGGCCAGAGAAGGTATACTGTTAACTTTTTAAGAACCTATTCCTATTTGTTCCGTCATTTCATTTTTAGTCCTAGTGTAATTTCTTTTTGTAACTCTCAGAATATCCAAACTGCATTCTATTCTCATTGCTTAGTGAAGCCGGACTTTGCACTCTATGGGCCTAATAGTGGAAGAGAGCCAGAGAGACTGTGTCACTCGGCCTTCTTTGAAGCATCTGATTGCTCCATCTTCTCTCTGGCTCTAAAGCTGTGAGATGTGCTTAGGAATCCCCCTGCATGGCATCCGCTTATTGGCAGGCTCCAGAAGAGGCTGATGAAAGAGCAGCGTGTGTGGAAGACTCTCAGGTGTGAATTGCAGAGCATCCTGCAGGGCCTAGGAGAGTAGAGATGGGCTCCATACCCATCCTACCCCAGCCAGCTGTGACCTTGGGCAGTTCATTCACCGGATCCTGGAACCAGCCAGGAGCTCTGCAGGGCTTTCCTCCCAAATGAGAGGAGCAGCCAGGGATTTTGAAAGCACTTTCTAGTCCTAATATACCATTTTTCTAAGACCCTCCTTTGCCTTCGGGACCAAAGGAAGAACACTAAACCAAGCCAGAAATTATGAATTCTAACCCTGGCTCATTACTGGTTCTTTGGCTAATCATAAACGACTCTTTTTGCTCGATTAATTGTATTTGTAAGATACCCTGATGAAAGAACCCAAGGAGATAATGATTGGGGATTATTTGGGGGTGGGGGAATATTTGTTTAAGTACATCTTGACCTTATTCTAGAAGGAAATGAGTTTCCCATCAACATTCCAATGTTGACATTGGAATCAGATGATTCTTGGTCATGGAAGCCTGTCCTGTGCACGTAGGATGTTTAGAAGCTTCACTGGCCTCTGTGCACCAGATGCCAGGAGCATCCCCGCTGTGAGGACAACTGAGATTTTTTTAAATATTGCCAAGTGTTCTCTTGGGGGCATAGAACCACTGAGAGAACCCCATTGAGAACCACAGTCCCACACTGAATGCTTTGATAACACTCTTATTATATAAAAGTATTTTTCCCTGTGCTGCTTTTACTCAAGAAACATCTATCTTATCTCAGTAGTTGCTGGGCCAGGCCAGGCAGAATGACATTGATATGTCCCCCATGCTTAAGGAGTTGCCCATCACAATAATTGGCATTGCCACAGAAGTGGCTGTCAGCAGCTCTGAGTGCTACTGCGACAGGGACACGAGAACGGTGAAGTGTCCAGGGAGGAGGTAGCCCAGGACGAGTGTCAGAGTATGGGGTCACTTGCTGAAAGACCTGTGTGACTTTCCTGCAGGCCCACCCACGGGTCTCAGGGCAGAGTTGTGAGCTTCAAGCCCAAAGAAAAGGGAAAGGGGTGCAGAATGGATTGAGTGGTGTGTGACTGCCTAGGCATAGCCCAGTTCTGACCCCGTGGGATTCGCACCTGCACCTAGCAGCTGGTGCTCCTCTGTTCCCACACATGTACTGAGGGGCGAGGAGCGTAAACCTGGCTCTCAGCATTTTGACCAGGTGATTTTTTCAGTCCCAGAGTTGCATGTTAATTGTCCTTACCAGGGTCCTCCACAGTTTCATGGTAGAAGGGCTGGTTTTCCATTTCTGGTCGCCTCGTTGTTGACTGCAGGAGGCAGATGGACTTGTTTTCTTCTGGAGAAGTCAGGTTGGAGCTCAGAAGGTGCTGGCTGGTTTCATACCTTCTCTGAGGTTGTGAACAGGAAAAGGGGGTGGCAATATTGTCCTTATAGGTATCTTTTTCCTTTTCTCTTAAAAAAAAAAAAAAAATCCTTTTTTACGTCACATGATTGTTACAACATGCACACGAGTTACAGGCAGATGTTCTCCTGCCTGTGAATGAGGAAAATCAGTTACGAAGAGATCGGGCCTCATGCAGTGACTCCAGTCCTTAGTGGCAGAACTGAGGCCATAAGACATTCTCTCCTATAGTCTCACTCTTTCCCCAGAGCACAGTGAGGACTGTGTCACCATTCAGAAGGCAGAGCAGGCATGAGGAGGCAAGTGGCTTTGCAGAGTTCCTCACGAAGCTGAGTTCAAAAACCATGGGCTGAATGCCTTCATGGGTCCAGATCTACGTATGGTGTTGGGCTCCAAGGGAAGACTTGCCACCCCCTCCTCCATTCTCAGTTTCCTCTGCGATGCTTGGCGATGTGACTTTACACCTAGCAAGTTGGTGCCTGACCATTAGACAGGACAAGGACACAGTCCAGGACTGGGATGTTCAGTGGTCGCAAGGCATGCTGTGGAGGGTGTAGCAGAGCAGGAAGGGCTGTGGCTGGGAAGAGAAATAGTGGTTAAGGAAGGATGTAGTTTTCAGGAAGTATCTTAGTTTCTCCTGCGGGAATGGTGGTAGGCCTGGTAGGAGTAGGAACCCCAGCTGGACCCATAGAGCACACGGGTGTCAGGTGCCCCTGCGTGTGCTCTGTCTACTACACATGCAGGGGGCTGTTTGGCCCTGTGGTTGTGCCAGGCAGAGGAAGATGCTGGTGGGAAGGAGGACATGGGTTCTATGGGTGTGGAACCCTGGAGAGGGTCCCCTGCAGGCCACAGAGCATCTTTCCAAAGCTCAAGCATGACAACCTTATAACTCGGGACCAGCTGCTCACCTTAGAGTGAGAGGAGCAGAGGCTGTGGACAGCAGAGTCTGAAGGCCACATGTGGTCACTTGAGGGACCCAGCAGCCTTTATGTCTTGAGGTGCTCCTTACAATCTGATCCCAGAACAGTGCTGCATCCCATGGAAAACGCGGGGAAAATCAGACAGTGTGGCAGTGGGAAAAGGTAGGCATGTGGTGACTTGCTCAGTCATGCGTTTCCTCTGGCCCTGTGAGACCCTCATGCCTCAGAGCTTTGGTTCTAGTTTAAAGGATGAAATTAAATCGTCTGAAGTGATCATGTAGCTCAGGATTATAACAGCCCTCAATTGTGCCTTACACACTCAAAGTGTCAGTCACTGTGGCCAGCATTATTTGGGACTGGAGGGATCAGGGAGACGGGATGGAGGAGCCCGGTATGTGGAAGAGGGAGGATTTGGGAAGGTCATGGGGAAGAGTGAGGAAGTTGACGTAGGTGCAGGCCAGAAGCAGGTGTGAGTGCTTCCTGAGACCCAGGGCCTTCAGGAACCACAGTGCACCTGCAGATGCGGTGGTAGCTTGCAGTCATCAGTAGCTTGAAAACCTACTGAGTTCAGGAAAGCCCAGGGCACCATTTGCACCATTTGATGGACTTCTGTGTGCCAGACCCGTGGGGCACTCAGCACAAAAGGGCATGGCTAGGGATTAAGAGATATGCAGAGTGATAGGAGGACATAGACAGAATCTTGTGGAGAGATAGGACTCTGAGGGCAGCAACTCTGTCCTACAGAGTTTCAGAATCTAGATGGGTCCAGCTTCTGGAAAAAGAATACCTCAGTCAGGGAGATTGACAGGTGATGACATGGCAAAGGGGTGCCTACGGAGGAAAGCAGGCTGCCTGGTGACATGGTCAAGGGTCCTGCCAAAGCCACTATGATCTCCCAGATCTGTGGCTGTGAGCCTGGTGGATCCTTGCTCCTGCCCTTCTACTTTCAGGGAACAAAAGCCTGGTCCTGAGTTTCCATTGAGCTGCAAGAAGCCAGAAGGAAAGGGAGCATTTGTTCCTCATTGCTACTCATGGAGTGGAGCAGTGTTCTTAGCAAACTATAAGTAGTGACTAAATCTAGATCAGCTTAATTCTTTCTTGGGGACTCCCTGATCATTCAGCCAACCTGACATTTTCCCCTTGGGTTTCTATGAACACTTTCACCACATGTCCTACACTGCCCCTTAGGGAACTCCTCTGTGCCCTCTCTAGTCTTCAAACACATGCCCTCATAAAACCCAGACAAGGTCTGACGGTATCTGTTCCCCCCACACACATTCAGCATGTGTGAGAGATGCTGGGTTTTCAGTGCTAGGCTTAGCATCATAGGGCATGGCAGTGTTTGAAGATGGTACCCATTTTCTATGGAGTTAGGAAGGTAAGTTCTTCATCTATGATTCTTAACTGAGTAGCTGTCATGACCTATCCTAGCCAACAGTGTGTGCCCTTCTGCCAGGCACTGCTCTAGTTGCTTCCACGGGCCATTACATTTAATCCTCGTACTAACCCTGGAAAATGAGTACTGTTATCCATTTCATAGATGAGGGTGCTGAGGCCCAAAGAGGTGGTTTCATTCCCCAAATTACGACTGCATCTGGTAAGTGGCCGTATCATGAGTCCAACGCAGGTCTGCCAGGCCTGAAATTGACTTTTTTAACCCCTGGGCTAAGTAAGGATTACGATGCCAAAGGTACATGGTGTGGACATTGATTTAAGATATTTGACCATGTGGATGGAAATAGGGCAAGCTCAGGAGGGGGGAGTGGGCAGAATTCAGATAAGCAAAGAAGAGGCGGGATTGAGTGTGTGCAAGAGCCTCATTTACAGAACTGGAGATGGCGAGATGGCTCATCCGCCTGCCAGTTGGTGCCTTTCAGCCTGTGCTTTACCCCGACCTTGTGCATGGCCATCCGTAACTCAGTAAAGCAGGCGCCTTATATTATGTTCATTTGCCTACACAAACGCTCATTGCTTATCTTGTTATTGGCAGCTTTGACCCAAAGAGAGCCGTGCAGCAGCTCAGAGCCTGTGGGGTGTTGGAGACGATTCGCATCAGTGCAGCTGGCTACCCATCCAGGTAACGTGCTCCAGCCATGTGCCCATGGGAATGCTGTAGAAAAGCCAGAGGGTATGCCCCCGCCCCCGGCGTCTCAAATATACTGTTAGCTGGAGACAGATACTAAAAAAGTGGAGGACCCAAATTGGGATGCTGACGGCAATTAGAATTTCATTTGGCCCTGAAATGGCACAGGAATCAATATAGTAAGATATTTGGAGGCAGCTTTTCAAAATTCAAGTTGATGTTGGTCTAGGTGATGAGCTAGGTAGTATTTCAAAAGGGATCCCTCCTTTCTTTGATGCCCACCATAGCCCCTGTATCTTTTTCATTTTATTTGGTAAAATATATTTATCTTGACCATTTTTAAGTTGACAGTTTAGTGACATTAGCACATTGACATTTTTGTGCAGACATCACCACCATCCATCTCCAGAACTCCCTTCAGCTTGCAAAACTGAAACTCTCTAGACTCTCAGTTATTCCTTGTTGTAGTTCATTTTTTTGTTACCGTAACAAAATACTTCAGGAAAGCTAACCTTAGAAGGAAAAGGTTTCTAGTTTAAGAGGCTAAAAGGCCAAAATTAGGAAGGAGAGAGAACATCACCAAATAGGAAGCCAGAGAGAAAGTGGGTTCTCCTGATCCCTTCTGAAAGCAGCATCTCCTAAGATGCCTAAGGATCTTCTAGTAGCCCCCACCTGCTAAAGGTTACACCCCCTCCCCAAACCACCACCCCAGGGACCAGGCTTCTAATACATGAGCCCTTGAGAGAGCCCACATCAAACCAGAGCACCCGTCATTCCCTCCCTCCAGACCTAGCAACCACCTTTCTGCTTTGTCTCTGAATTTGACAACTCTGGGTGCCTGATGCAGATGGAGTTTTAAAGTATTTGTCCTCTTGGTGACTGGCGTATTTCACGTGGCTGCATGTCCATGTTGTGGTGTGTGACCAAATGTCATTCTTTTTTAAGGTTGAATAATATTCTCTGGTATGCATATATCACATTCCGCCTGTTTACTACTGTCAAGCCCTTTAACTTTTAATAGGGAATCAAATATGTGGTGGGAAGTTGAATTTCTTCAAATTAAAAACAACAACAACAACAACAAATCCTCATGGTTGACCTGTAGTATGGATAAGACACTGAACCAATCTGGAGCCTGGGGAAGCTATAATAAGTTGTGGCTTTCGCCTGGACACCTCCCTGAAATGTGTGTGGAAGGGTGCATGGCACCTCCTCTTGTTCCCATGAGATACACTGTGCCACTGTCCTACAAGCCAAACATGTGCCATTAATTGGGGCTGGGCTGAGCAATACAGCAGCACAGAGCTTGTGGAGCTGTCCACGAGGACCCTCTGACCTAGGAAGTCCCTTCTATGAGGAGGTGGAAGAAGCCAGAAGTGGGCATGAGGGATTAGTAAAGGCGTCTGCTCCTGTCTGCTTTTTAAAACCCTGCAGGGTGGTCCTCTGGAGCAAGACTAAAGGCTGGGTTTTTTGGTTTGTTTTTAGCTACATCTGTCCTTACTTAGGAAAAAGCAGGGGATATCCTGGGGTCCCTCTCACTTTTTGACCCTGGGGTCTGAACCCAAGTAGCTAACCCCCTGTTGCTAACGAGTGGGGAGGCTCTGGCTTCCTGGATGGAGGCTTGGCATTCCTTTTGAAGGGGACTATGAGAACCCAGTTGCTCTCTGGCTTCTCTTCCCACTGTGCCCTGCATAGGCCTTTTGATTGAGCAGCTGGAGCCCAGTGGTTCAGATCTGAGTTCAGGCCACTGTAGTTATCAGTTCCACTGCCTTCGGATGCCTGCTATAAGCACAGGGTTCAGATCTGACCTATCATCATTCAGTTGAACTGGGAGAGGACCTTAGGTTACTGCCAAACTACCAGTTTCCAACCATGTCCCATGGGCAGCTGGCTCTACTCCTATTCCCAGCTCTTGTGTTTGCTGGGTTCCTGAGGTAGGTCTTGCCCACCAAAGGGGTTTCTTTAGTCCTCTGTCTTTAACCTGGTGTTTCTCATAATCATGTGTTGCAAACGCCTCATGAGTCAGGAAATAATTTTGATTAATTTTGACCAATACACTGTTTTTAATGAAGTAACTTGGGTTGGAAATTGTGTTTAAAAAAAAAAAAAAGTGGTTTGTGGCAGAGGGATGTTGTGGCATGGCCATGTCGGTGTTGTGAGGTGTTGCATGCTCTAAGATGTGCTTTCATGATGGGGCTCAGAAAAGGAGCACCTTTGTCCCATGCTGTATTGTCATTGTGGAGCATCTTACTGCTCAAGTCAGTGAAGTGCTGCACTCCAAAAGAGGTTTGTCAGAAGAGTGGGTTGGGGTCCTGAGAGACCTTCCCCCTATGCCTAGCCTAGACCCAAGACCTGGCTTCCTATTCTTGCCAACTTGTGTATAGGAGTTCAGGGTGTGGAACTGCAGCCCAGGCAAAAGCTGAAACAGCATGGTAGCTGAACACTGTGCTTTGGAGTCAGCCTGGGGTTCAGGTATTGGTTCCCACACGTCTTGCCTGGGTGACTTTGGGCAGGTTAATCTCTGAGCCTAGGTTTCCTTATCTTTAAGTATCTTCACCTCATTGGTTGTGAGGAATGAGATAATGTATCAAAGTCCTCAGCACAGTGACGGTACTTCAGAATTTAATAAAGTACTTGTTATATCACTCAAGATATGAGCAAGAATCTACCTCCCTTTGGACATAGGTATCTGGGTAGAAGACAACTTTACCAGAAATTTCTAGCTTTGTTTTTGTGAAATCCCAATGTGTGTACCCATCTCAAAAAGAGCATACTGAAATTCCTAGGACTCTACAACTAGAAAGGGCGAGTTTAAAAGTTAAAGAGGCTGAGGGTTTAGCTTGGTGGTACAGCATGTGCTCAGCATGTGCAAAGCCCTGGGTTTGGTCCCCAGCACCAAAGTCTGTAATTAGAACTAATATATCCTGTTTCAAACTGGTGCAAGAAAGAGCCACACTCGTGCTTTCAATGAAGAGGCCTGAAGGCAAACGGAGAACCCCAAGGTGTTAACCTTTGTATATAATTCTCACTGGTTTAATGGGGCTTGTAAAGTGGGAAGCGTGGAAAAAACAAGAGAAGCCCATGACAGTGAGGTAGTCTGAGGCTGGTGGAATCTTGGGGAGTCACCTGTTTCACCAAGAACTTTCTAACAGTAGGTTGTTTAATAACAAGACAAATAATTTATAGAAGGTGTCCCTCTGGGGAGTCTCCTTGGACATCAAGGAGAGGCTACAGACTCTGCCCAGGCAGAGGTCTGTGCACATCTGTGCCAGCTCTGATTCATCGGCTGAGCTTCCTCACACCCTCATTGTGTGAAATCAGAGTGACAGTGTGTGCCATCTGCATTCCTACTGGGTTTGCTGTCACAGTGCGAAACAGTCTGTTTATAGAGATGGAAGGGTGGGGAGGGGCTTTACTTCTGGGGTCTGGCGTGAGCTTTATGTAGAAAGCTTTAGAATGAAAGGTTTTTGGCTCTGTGGATCTTTCCCCTCAATCTTTCTCCTGCCCGTCTCACACTATACGGAGTATCCAGCCCTGTGCTGGTCCCTGCCCACCAGGAGCCCACAGCTAGAAGTGACACAGGCTTGAAGCAGAGACCACCACAAAACCAGTGTTAGATGTGGGAGAAACTGCACCTGGAGCTGGGCCTGGAAGAGTGGGGAGGGTAAGGATCCGTGGGGAGGAGTGGGAGGACACTGCCAGCCAGGGAGCACCCAGGAATGGACAGCAAGTTAAAGAGGGCTTCCCTGGCCACCCAGTGCTCCGTTGCAACTGCTCTGTCCCCCATTCATAGCCTGCTGGCACACCAGGTGTGCTCCTCCCCTAATTCAGACTGCTGCTTCTTGGCAGCTAAGAGCATGTGCCCTTCAAGTCCTTGGACCCATGAGGAAGGTGGCTTCTCCTACTGTGTGTTCCACCTGGCTGCATTCAGAGTTGCCAGCAGGGTCGAGATGCCCATACCTTGCTGGCCTCTTTCAAGGTGGCAGAAGGACGTCTTTTCCCGCTGTCCTAATTGTTTCAGACTTCTTTCTTCAGGTAATTACAAGTACATCTGTACCTTTTGTTTTTGTACTTACAGGTGTTATGGGAAGTACAAGGAAGTACAGGTGTATTTCTGGTATCACAGAAAAAGTTGCCTGCCGCGGTGATGTGAGTGGGTAGGCTCAGATCCAGGATACACCCTCCCTCTGCAGCCTTGCATTGGCTGCCTTAGCACATTTTGCTCAAGGGTCCAGGAGAGGGTTTCCTCCCTGAAATGCCATGGGAAATGTTCAGTGTTGGAAAGTAGCACCATGATTTTTATGGCCCTTGGTTAGTCCTGAGGTGGAGTTGGACCTTCCAGGCTATCTGGTCTAGATCCTCCCCTTATCCTCTTGCCACTCCCAGGCCACGGCACCTAGAATGGCAATTATTTGGAAGATGAGAGGTGGTGGGGATTGGAGCTGAGGGGAAGCTCCCACACTGGAATCTTTAGACTCGGCCTCTTTGCTTAACCTTCTGCTCTTGCCAGCCATGGTTACTGTTTGGGTGACCTTGCTGACGACGAAGAAGTAAACAGTGCTGCTGCCTAACTGCTTGATCTAGGAGACTGGTATGTGGGCTATATTTGGGATGAATCAAGTGAAGTTTTATGAATGCCTCATGCCCAGCAAGGTCTCAGCTGTGGAAGGAAATCAACCAGTGTAATTGAGCATAGAGAGATTCATTTGGAAGATCTTCAAGGGACCGGAAAGATGTGAGTGGAACCTAGGCTATTGGGAGTTATCTACAAAAAGAATCGACCTCTCCACTGCTGAAAACCCACACAGCAAAGTGACTTCACTCGGGCTAACTTGTCAAGCAACTCACAGCTTTGCAGAGCTGTTTCCCAGGGATACTTGAGTGGGCTTCTTTGATTAGGGGAATTACAATTTATGCCATTTTCCTGCATTTCTCTTGTGCACAGGCCCAAAGGGAGGAAAATGGCTAAGGGGAAGGAAGTGCGTGTGGAGTCC